GTTAATATTTTATTATCTTTTGTTTTATGGTTGAATTTTACCTTGAATGTATTTTCTGATTTGCTTGAATTAACAAATATTTGATCTGTACTGAGAGAGTTATCGTCGACTTCGTCATTTGATATTTCCGCAACTTCCACATTATATTGTTGAGAAGTAGATGTTGAAGGCTTTTGTTCAAACCTATTTCTATTTATTGGTCTATTATCTGAATTTTTACTTTGATTTGAATTAGTATGGTTTTTGTTTTGACGTTCTTTGGACAACAATACTCTGCATTCCTCAATGCTATGTCCTGTTTTTTTGCAATATTTGCAGGATTTAATATTTTTGTTTAGATTAGCATTATCCTGTTGTCGTGAATTTTTAAAATAACAATCATTTGAAGAGTGATTAGTTTTTTTGCATATTTTACAAAATTTTTCTTGAATATTTTGACGGTTTGTTTTCCTCATTTTTAGATATCTTTCCTCTGTTATTGCTTCGGTATAGGCTTCTTGAAGAGTTTGTGGTTTTGATCTTCGCAAGGCGGAAGAGATATCCTCCGAGCAATGGATCATAAACCTTACTAAAGCGTGTTCTCATGTCAACCGTTGAACAGTAATTGAGGTCTAAGTATTTCGGATCTAGAAATTTGATTAATGTTTTCATTGACAGAGAAAATTGTTGCATGTTCTGGTGTAAATTCTTCTAATTTTATGCTTATATTTGGAATGATTTTGATTTCGTTTGTCGTATTTATAATTGTTGTTAATGCGGTTTGTTCATCACTTGGATTTAATATAGCCTTTGCCAGATAAACTCCTTCACAAACATTATCGTTCATGTAAACTCCTTCCTTTACTTGATTTATAATATTTACCTTTATTACGCTTTCTGATCGTGCTTCCAAAATATGGTAAGTTTGTTGATTAGTGCTATTAGTTTTTAAATTTGCTGGCTCGATTGGAATTATTGGGAAGTTTTTGGTATTAAGTTTTAAATAGTTATTCTTCAAGTTTATTTCAGCTAAATGTTTTCTTAAGAAATCGTTACCAAGTATTCCATCTAATGGTAAATTGCATTCGTCCTTTATGATGTGACATTTTATAATAACGTTATAATTACTATTTTCCGTTTCCAAATTAATTGTACCTACGCTTCTAACGCTTGTACCTGCGCCTAAGCCGGTTAAAGTCGTTGCTTCTTTTTGATTTACAGGCAGACGTGCCTCGCGCAATTTATCTGTTAATTTAATCAAAGTTAATTCTGCTCCAGTATCGACCAAAAATTCAAATGTTAATATTTTATTATCTTTTGTTTTATGGTTGAATTTTACCTTGAATGTATTTTCTGATTTGCTTGAATTAACAAATATTTGATCTGTACTGAGAGAGTTATCGTCGACTTCGTCATTTGATATTTCCGCAACTTCCACATTATATTGTTGAGAAGTAGATGTTGAAGGCTTTTGTTCAAACCTATTTCTATTTATTGGTCTATTATCTGAATTTTTACTTTGATTTGAATTAGTATGGTTTTTGTTTTGACGTTCTTTGGACAACAATACTCTGCATTCCTCAATGCTATGTCCTGTTTTTTTGCAATATTTGCAGGATTTAATATTTTTGTTTAGATTAGCATTATCCTGTTGTCGTGAATTTTTAAAATAACAATCATTTGAAGAGTGATTAGTTTTTTTGCATATTTTACAAAATTTTTCTTGAATATTTTGACGGTTTGTTTTCCTCATTTTTAGATATCTTTCCTCTGTTATTGCTTCGGTATAGGCTTCTTGAAGAGTTTGTGGTTTTGATCTTCGCAAGGCGGAAGAGATATCCTCCGAGCAATGGATCATAAACCTTACTAAAGCGTGTTCACGAACAAGAGTAATTCTGTCTGTTTGTGTTGGGTATTTTAATGCGCAAATGGCTCCGAGACAATAATAATTACGCATATAAAAGTCGCAAAACCATAATGAAACTAATTTTCACTACTTTTATGCCGCTTAATTTTTTAAGCATTTATTTTGATATAACTGATGACTTTTTTACCGTTTTGAGTTTGTGAAACACATTTTTTATATTCAACGGCGAATATGCTGTGCTTCCCGCTGCGAGTGCCATCACATAATATCGACTTTTTCTTTTGCGGGATAAAACATCATTATATGCGCTCGCGAACTATAATAACGCTTGAAAAGCATATCCTTCATTTCCTGCATATTTATGTCCGAGTTTATATCGGGGCTATTTTTTATGAACAAATTTGCTGAGGAATGCAGGTTCATAGAATGCAAAAATTTCACTAAATTTACAGTGAAGTGGAATAAAAATTTAGTGCGAAAAGGGCACATTCCTTAAAAGAATAATGCTTGCATTAAAATCAAAACTCGAAAGTTATTTACATTCACAAAAAGTGCAGAGAAATGATCGTAAGTTGTAAAATAATGAATTTATTTACCCACACCTCTCACGTGTTTTTGCCTTAATATGCGGGAAGTTTTGAGGAATAAGCAAGTGTGATGTGAATTTATTTATTACTATAATCCCATCAATACCTGCTATTATCTAAATTACATTCCTGTTCATGTCAACCGTTGAACAGTAAAAAGGTCAAGTTAGAAAACAGAGTTAAATAAACATGTATGCAAAATTTAAACTAAAAAAATAGTTACGATAAAAAGTAATAAAACATTTAGTTCATTGGATATTTTGCATGAAAATAGCAATTTGGCTCTATTTTAGTTTGAATTTGTTGTTACGACAAAATGCGAGGTCGCGCAGTCAGCATCATGAAGTCATCAATATCAAGACAACAACACCAACTAAATACACTACACTACAACGCAATACAAAACTATCATAGTTTTACCACCGTTTCTAGTATGAGAATATTAATTTTAGTATCAATTTGTCTCATTTGTAGGAAAAATAATATAATCACATCACATTATACATATGCTTGTGTTTTTTTAATTAATTGAGTTACTTAGTCAGCAATTGGGCGCATCAGAAGTTTTAAAAGTTCTAGATATTGTGAATGTGAAGATACTAATGATACTAATGCTTTCCACGTGACTCTTTTTTATGTTTGTTGCTGAGTTGGCTTTTCTTGTTTGCGCATGCCGATGCAACGACCGAATGAAATGGTCATGGCCATGACTCACTCGGAATGGTTGCGCACACCATACATAACAATGGTCGATTAAATTTTCAAACGACACAATTCTACCCGTAGATATTTTCGTGTATTCGTTGGCGTTTGAAATAATTGTTTGCTCATCAATTTGATTTCTAGGAATGGAATCATGCTAATTTTTGCGATAAAAACATATATATTCATTGAGTAATAACATAGATAATCTGTATTCGGGGAGTTATGTACGGCCTGCAATAATTTATGTTAAAGATTCCATCAGTTACATTGATGTTGCGCTTAAATTATTTTTCATGAGAGAAAATGAAAAAAATTGCGATGTATTATCGCTTAAAATGGTCGTTTAAGCAAAGTCGACCTAAAGTCAAACAAGTCGACACCACGGACTGCGGTTTGGCTCTGATGTGGTGACTTTCTGATTGGCGAAGCGCAGACTCGTTATTGCCATTTATGGTCAATCAATCGATGACGTCATACCTGTGACTGCAGAGTCAGAGAATGCTCGACACGTCGCAAGCCGGCGAAACCAGACAGCAGCATGCATCCTGCCGCTTTATATTAAAATAACAGCGCCTGCCACACAAATATGACTTTAAAATCGATACGCCGTGAAGAAATAAAGCGAATTCCTTTCGTACTCGAGAACTTGCTGTCTTGCTGGTTTTATGCTGGCGTCGATAAAGTGAATAGTCAGCGATTCTTTTAATGACACCTTGATTGAGTAACGAAACAGGCACAAGCACAGGTTCTTGGAGACCATATGTTCGCGCATTTGTGTACGAAATGTGAAGCGACAGAATAGCAGTATTCTTAGTCGTTCTATTTAATTAAACTTGATTTCGTTGTTGGGATGGCTTGAACGTAAATGGTAAAATGTTATATCAATAGTTAAACTTCAAGAATACTTGAGGAATAAAAATATTTTCTCAGTTAAAATCCATTTTAAGTTAAACTTCAATTTAAACTCATTTATTTTTTTAAACACTGGGTCCATAAGTGCAGAGAACGAGTGCATGCTATGGTATTAATTTGCAAATAGCGTAGGCGAATGCATTTAATAAACGTGATGCATAAATTACTGAGACGCAGTCTATTTATAACTCGCTTCTTTAACGATTGTAGGTAATCTTTATATGGTGAGTGGTATTATAGACCCGCACGCAGCAAAATTGTCTTCATTAATATCGCGATCGTCATCGGTCGAGCTGTTGTCAATACTGGAATTGAATTATTTTATGACACTCATAACTTGTTTTCTATCGTGCTAAATTGCGAACTATTTCTATCACCTCTTAACATATCTTAAAATTAGACAAGTTCTTCGGTCTACTGGTCTAGAGAATGTCAGTTTACAATACGTGATTGTAAAGTATATAAAGTAACAGCCAAAGCTAAAGAGTGAATTAAATAAAGGCTGGCTTTGATATCCATATAGGTTTTTTCTTTTCTTATTTAACTCACCATAGGTGTGTATACGGTGTGTAATCTGTACGTCTGTGATTATCTCCAGACTTCGAAAATGTCGAACCACACGAGTGAACACTTGCGACGTTTTTTCGTAATTTCAGTGTATGCTAATCCTCCAATGCACGCACACGTTTCGATTTTTATTTAAAATCATATTAAAATTATTTATGTGAAACTTGCAGCAATTAGTTAAACATGTCTTCGCGAATAAATCATAAATACGCGACTAATGTGACGATCGATAGTGTGAAATCTGATTTTTGTTCGAGTTTTGAAAATCGATTACGAGTGAGTGCGGCTAGTGAAACCCCAAGGCGACAATTATTGTCCATGAGTGCATGTGTAATTTTTTGTTTCTAGTTTTGCGCACATGATATTAATTAGAGTTTTTATAGGGCGTCCAAATTGGTGAAATCGACATCGGGCAACCATGTACGGAGTGCGATTGTCCAAAAGGATACAAGCCACATTTATGGCGGTAAGATTTATTTTTACTTATTTATTTTGTATACTACAATTCTGAATCAAAATATAATTAGAATCTAAAATTAGCACTTATTATTGTTGTAATACATATTGTTGTTAATACATGTTTTATAGTCGGCGAATAATCGGCAAAAAGCACCAATAATTCAGCCAATTTATTTATAAATTAATAAATAAATGAATAGGTGGAATTATTGGCATATTGCTGTATTATGTATATTATATTATATTGTAAATATTGTGATAATTAATCTCGTCGCAAGTACATATCTAACATATATTTGAACACATACACGACAAATTTCCGTAAATTTCGATAATGCCCGTAGATAATGTATTTAACTCACGACTTGGCCGTTCGTATATAAAGTACCATTTTTTGTGTCTAAAAACTGTGGAAAAACTGACGCTTTATGGGTGGAAGTAGAAAAAAATCCATTAAATCCAAATATTAAATCCAAAAATAAATATTAAGAGTCATGGCGTGCATACATCGTCGAAACAATGATTGTTAAAATCGAATGTTCGACCAGATAGTCGATCTTCTTCAGACTTAATGTTCTGTTATTGCAGGTAAACAACACTTGTTGCTCGATTTCATTCACTTTCACATGTTTATAAACATAACAGTAATTTATAATTAAATAATAATTAGGAACATTAGAAAATAATTTACCTGGGTTCATAATTATAAAAATAATATGATATGAAGTTAATACATGTAGTTTTTCTTAGTTTGGTGTATATCCTATGCAACTTGATATACCAATTGCAGCCTGGGTTGCATACAGTCAACTTGCACTTTGGTAGGAAATAGCCGGATAGTTCCGTATTCGTTCTAATATGAAATAATTTCAATTCAAATATTGATTTAATATTTCCTTAATTATTAATCATTAATTGAACATAAAACCCAACGTCTAAATTAAATAAAGTACAATTATGCAATTTTTGTTTGTAATAATCAATTACTGGCGTACACCGGGCGCACCTACTTCACTCACCATTTGGATATAATCATTCAAATGTACTGTCCATGCGTGCTACCGTTGTATCCCGCGCAGTCTAGTAGTCTATTATTATTCTATTATTATCGTGATAAATATAATGTACACGGAATCATGTTAATTCGCTTTGTGTCCGCTACTTAGGGTTCAACGTAGAACATACGTTGTTGATGTTGGTTGATAGTTGGTTTTGAAATTTAATCGAAATATAATGAACTTGAACGCGTCGTCGCCCTATTGTCGTCGGCTCGCGTTCGCACAATGACTTGCGCTGCGCCACACGCCCTTTATTTTCTTGTGGACACTTGAACACAATACATATACATTTAAGCTTAAATTAGAATTAATCTAGAGATAGTTGAAAAGTATCAAAACATGCGTGTGAGTTCGTATGGACAAGGGGCACTCTAAATTGGATGCATGTGCGTTTTAATTATACTTTTATGCGTTATATTTAGTGAAGGAAGAAGGTTGAAGGTCATGAGAGAGTACAACAATAATAGTTTCTGATATAGCAATGAACAATATTTTAATTAATTAATCAACCAAAATTTCTCTTCTGCAGCTCTTGATAATTTTCAATGTGTCGTTAATTAACGTATTTTATTTTGTCTCAACATTAACTTTTTTTCTAACCGAAACATCGGATACTAAAGTATATATCCGTGAATGTGTTCGGTAAAAAATCGAAGGTGCGTCTAGGCGTGTCGCACGGAAATTAGCTAAAAGCTTTAAAAGCTAACTGTCAAAGTATTGTATTCTTGGGTTGGCTTGTTCAACGTGTTGCAATTTTTTAAACATGATCTATTTATATACTTGCATTAACTTTCTCTCTTTCCTGATTTCTTTCTTGTCAATACAGTAGAATCTTGATAACTCGAATGTCAAGGGAAACCAAAAAAAATTCGAGATAGCAAGTGTTCGACTTAACAAGAATTTTGAGATATGAAGAGTTAACTCATCAAATTTCGACATAAAAAGGCACAATTTCATAGAACATTTATTACGACAAATTACATTAGGTAACATAAAATGAAAGTCAAGTACATAATTATAATGAATGAACTTACACTGTATGTTTTAAATAATTGATAAAAAATCTGTTATCTTCGTTTGATTCAAGCCATTTACAGATTTTTTATCAATTATTTTTTCTAGTTCATATAGTGAACCGAATATATGATACTCGATATCATTACATCTTTCAATGTAAGTTCGTAGTGTATCAATTGCTGTATTGTACTCATGTTGTTGCTTGTTAACAGCCAAACAAATATGTACTGACTGAGCCAAGTAACCAAAAGTGACCAAAAATGAAGAAACATAACATCTGTGTTTCTTAGAAATTAGAAAGTTTATTGAATGAATTCATTCCTTGCACGTGTGCAAAACAAAAACAATAGATAAGAGGCCCCGAGCCCCGAACATTCCTTTTTGATTTTATTGCCACGAGTTTTGAGCTCCGGGAATCTCGAGTAAGAAATCATAAAATTTTATGAACTTCGACTTACTGAGGTAGTATTTGCAGTTCGAGTTACTGAGTATTAAAATGTACGAGTAATGCCTCACAGGGAAATAACTTATTGTTCGAGTTACTGAGTCTAAAAAATTCGAGTTAATGCGTCGTTCGTGGTTCAGCGGAAGGGAATAGCATATCTTTTCGAGTTACTGAGGATTACGACTTAACAAGGTTCGAGTTATCAAGATTTTACTGTATTATATTATCAAAATCAAAAGACACACTCAATTTATTCGTTTCATTAACTTTTACAAATATTAGCCTCGTCCTTAAAGAGTATCCTAAATTCAGCGACGACATGATTTAATTTTCACTATGCCGGATTTATGCATTGCAATAAAGTTGTTAAATGGCAATGAGCAGGGCTAAATGCCATTAACTCACTGACGTGTTAAATGCCGGGATGTGCAACGAGGTGATGAAATGTGCGTAATGGAAGTTTCCTCGAGGGTATTATCACCCCGTCAGGATAATGAAGTTGTTTGGGTAAAATATGCACGTTTACAAAAAAAATGCACGTAAAATTGCGATGTATATATTTATTAGATAATCTGCATGTCTTTGGTTTTTGAACACATTATAGGGGAGAATAGTCTAGGATGGGCCGTTTTGATGTTTTTAATTTTCATGTCAATATGCACATATTTAGGATGAAAACGATAACAGGACATAAATGGTACATGTAATGCCTACATGTATTTTTACTGTACTACAGTATTTTTATTACTTTTGAAAATACAATTTAAAATGCTAAAAAAATCCTTTGTTTCTGATGTTGGCAACCGTCAAGTGGTTTAAATGGAAACTCTAACCTAATTATTTACGCTATTATCGATAAATAAATTCTTTATCAAATGGTATAATAATTAGATTGATGCAAACTTTTTTTACTCTGTCAACATGTAAATTTTTGCAATGACTTACATTTAAACAAAAATTGTCATTTTATCCTTGTTTCGCTCGGAAGCAAGCAAGATAGTTGTAGGGACTGTGCAATTTGATTTGCTATTATAAGAATTACTCTCCTCTACCATACCATAGATAGCTTTTATTGATAGGTCGTAAAACGACCGACGAAAATTAAAAGCAAATGTGTTTAGTAAAATCACGAAGTTAATCTTACTTTTCGTTATCAGGTGATAAGTAACAAAATTCTTTGAATCACACACTTGAAGTCTAGATTTTTAAGTGAAGTTCCTATATTAAGTTTTGCAACATTTTTAAATTCAATGGTATGTAATCATTTATTTTCATGTTACATGATCGGTTAGAATATGCGCGAAAAGTATTAATCAATCGATCACTGTATTTATTAGAAATTCCAAACATTTGAATACATATTAGTGCTTTGGTGATTTGTGCACATGATGTATTTTTATTTCACCACCCACGTCTTCTTCTGCTTACTAGCTGGGAACTAACGTTAGTTCATTTAGGTGAGTTTACGTTATGCAAAAGTATCGTAAGAAAGCAAACAATTTTTATGAATGTTTATGCGTTCATAATTTGTTTATAAATTCTGTTTACCATTTACTTTTATGTATTTTCCTGTTTTGACATATACACTTAACATAAATTATGATCGCGAAAATGATTTTTATTGGGTGCAAAGAAGAAAATTCAGTATTCAACTTTTTATGGAGCTGGGAAAATCAATATCACGTTTTCCTATACGTGTATAGGCGAAATGTTAGTTTTTGACATTTCTGAACGATTTTAAATCTTGTAACCCTTTTCTTTCCTGTTTATAGAAAATATAATTGATGAAGTTGCCATTATGAAGAAGTTTTAAAACTTCATTGCGCGGACTGTTAATGTATTTCTTTTCACGTGTAATAAAAAGAATGGAAATTAGAGAATGAAATGATTTTCATTAGAGAATTGGCACTTGTCCAAAGTGCGTTGCTCGCTTATGTTAATTTAGTTTTTACGTTTAGATTATTGCTGTGTTTATTTTAAATTGCCTGCACATATGTAATTATAAAAATATAATTTTTTTCAGTACACCTTGCGCAAATCAATTTTATTATTAATTTTTGTTAATTCTCTATTGACGTTTTAATGGAGATAATAAAATGGTTTTGGCATATACAAAGCTTTTTTGTGTTTTCGCATAATCATAAATAATGGTCTAATAAAATAAATTCGTCATGCGGCGTTGAACCAACAGAGAAAATAGCCCATGAAAATTTAATTCTATTATTTTCGTCTTTAAAGGTTTCACGTGTTCATTTGCTTATAGTTATTCAATAGGCGTGGTTGCATTACACGGTGAAAAAATTATGGCTGCAGAATTAGATTTTGTGTTTATTTTTGTTTCAACTGCGGTAAGATTTGTCTCTAAATTTTGATTAATCCACCGTATCCTTGAGATCGTTATATTATTGATTCAGGATTAATTTCTGGATAAGTTTAAAAATAAATAAAATAAATATATCAAACATGTTTACTTTTATTAAACCAAAACGGACGGAAATTGACAGCTGATAAGAAGTTGTAATTCGTGTAAATTTGAAGAATACATAGAAATTGAGACTAATCGCGAAAATTAAATATTAGTTGTGTGTAAATTGCAATGAAAGTAGATTATGTATTTACCGATATTTTGACACGTTCGGAGTAAATTTTTTTTGTTAATGTTCTAATGACGTCAATTTGTCTGCGCGATATCAGGGATGGTCAATTTTCAATTATTTCATGGCATTTATGCTCTAGTGCCAGGAGGTTGTGTGTACGTGTTTGTTATTTTAGCTAAATTACCAACGGCAAAATCTACAACATCAATAAAATACGAACCATTGAACTTTTCCTGAAAACAAATTTCGCTGATGTTTTCAGATTCTTGTTGATTGAAGAGAAAAAAGGAAAAATATTACACGCACACTTGGTATATTCGTATATTTTTGTTTATAAATAGCTCAGTTTTTGGAGCTTTTTAAGATGTGCGCCTTCGTAAATTAGTTCTACGCTGCCATGTATCTGCTTCCTATCATCTAGTGAGATAATTTAATAAACGCAAGCTTCAACTCAACGCACCATTCATACAACCACCTAAAACCTTATTTATAACCTTCGAAAAGTTTTAATTTTATAATATAAAAACTATAAAATAACTTTTCCAAATAACCTGACATAATACTACAGTGTTTACCTATTAGTTAGTGGTCGCTGTGTTGTGCTGCTCGTTGTGTATGTGAATATAATCAAGTGGCGCCTGAATCCCTATTTTGGATGGATACAGCGTGTTAGATTTTCGTTTACTATTAGCTCGAATGCATCACCTTTGGGGCGCGTAATTTGCGATGTTTGTTCGTAATGATCTCCGATATCTTCATCGCTCGTTCGCGCCACTTGGCCGTTTCAAATTCCGACTCATTATTCGTTATCCAGCCGCGGCGCACCGACGTGTTCGTTCATCCTCGACTGTTTTTAATTCTCGGTATGAGCAACAATGTTGCGTTGTGGTCCGTGATGTGTGGCTCCATCGCTCACGACGACGTCATTTCGCTCGTGGCCGGCGTCGTCGCCGTCGACGAAAGCTCGCTGACAATTTTCTTAGCTTTGAACAAATCACAACGACGCTCGCCGCATGCAGCCCCCACGCAACGCGGCGCGCAAACGTTGACAAACCGTCTGATAAATTGTTCGTTAACACCCGTCCGCTTATTCGACAAATATCGCACGCTCCAGGCGCTGCCAACCGCATATGAGGGAGTGTTTGATAGTTCATTGATAACACTGATTTTCGATTCCATACGAACCAGTGATAAGTAGTGTTTGTGCCCTTAATTCAATGTGTATCTTTTGATAAAGGCGCACGATTTTTGTGAATTTGAACGACGTATTCGGTACGGTTTGCAGTATGGACTGCTATCTATAACTCGTAACATCGTGGCACGGAAGACGGAAAATCCTGCCTCCTAAGTGTCAGAGATGCCGGAAGACGGGGGAACGTGCGTTTTCAATTCCGATCCAAAGCTCGGCTTGCGGCTTGCCTGCGTGCGTGTTTTGTATTTGTATTGCAAAGTCTTCGATCATTTGGACTATTTTCCATCGCTGAGGTATTCCATTATTTATTATTATTTACACGTAAAAACCAATTATACTCACCGTATGATTTGTTAATGATTCACACCTACAATGACACACGTGTTTTTCGTAGTCTTTATTTACTATCGTATTTATCACACTTAATTAACATGTATTGCTTTATAATTTACAGTATTTATATAGACTAGACACTGATATCATTCGAATCATTAAGGAATTCCTCGAATGCTTTCAAAAGTGTTCAGATTTTGTTGAATTGCGGGATATACACCTAATTCTTAAATAAATAAGTTGAAAAAAATGATTTCATTAATTTTATTTGATCGGTAACTTTTGATAATAACAGTTTTCGGTAAAATGTATTAAAGTGATCTGTGAAATTAATTAATTAAAATTTAAGTATTTATGTTTTCTTGCCATATAAGTGCGCCATGACTATATTTTTGCGTATGCAATACATAAATCAATTTGCTCTAGAAATTTGTGGGACAGAAAAACACGTTTTGAAAATAACATAAGATTTCTTGTTTGGTACGGTGATATTTAACCCAGTGCGTTCAATTGCTCATATTTGGCTTTTTTCTGCCTGTCCATTTATGTGGTAGTTATCGTGCTAGAAGTATGTTTATTAGTTTGTATTACATGATTGTTACTACATAGTTGCAACGTAATTTTTATTTAAAGAGTTCTAAAGAATCACTTAAACATTTTATGCTACAATTGCTTCACTAAAATGCAATCTGCATTGTTCTATAATTGTATTTGATTTGCATATGCACACTTTACACGGTTACCAATTTGCTTGAAGCTATAAATCCATTTGGTTAATGCGATTTAGTTTTAATGTTTATGCAAATTTAACAACAAACATGTAAAGACTATTAACATGATATGTGCAAAGTAACAAGGTCATTAAGGTGCAATAAAAGGTGTCATTTAATCAGTTTTCTTATCATCGTTATATTCAGTGCGTTACCTTCGGTATGTTATCTTATTTGCTTTATATCTAGATGCATTTTCATGATTTAAATGAAAATGTTTGATACCAATAGACTTTAAAGTTTCCATTTACAAGCGTTGTCTTTAAATAAATAATTATAATGGTTTGGCTAATAATTTCACACAAACTTTTGAATAATAAGGATTGTTAATTATTTCAAATTAACGGATTATGTATTATTAATATATAATAGATATATAGCTTATACATTAATTTGTTTTTGTAATTCTTAATACATTTTAACAATAAAAAGGAATAAGAGATAGGTATCTGATATTACATCAATATTATATCATTTTGAACGTTTTTGCTCAATATAAAATGATTTCTTTCAAGTGTATGACATAGTTTACTTTGCAAATACCATTCTTTATGGTGAGCTATCAATTTTCACATTAAATATTTGTGCATGTGGTTTTGGATACCTTTATTCCTAATCTGAAAATCACTTTATTCTCATCTGCTTTGTGTTTGCACTTAAGTGAAGGTTACATTAGATTTTGAGAAGGTGGCACACAAAAAGTATCTGGTTTCTTTTCTCAAAGACATTTTAAAAAAAATTACAAATCAATAAATGCGTATTAACTTTTCAATTCGTATTTATACTTTTGCATAATATTTATGAAGTTTGAAACTGTAACTGCAATAACCATATATTCCTATTTGGTTAGCTTCAATGTGTTGCTATTAAATAAATCTGGGTAAAAACCACGCATGCATTCTTGCGGAATTTTTGGCAAATTGCAATTAATACGCTGACGGCAATGCCACATACGTACCAAATCTTAAAAAACATTTTAATGTCTTGTATCGACCTTCTGGCAATTGGCCAAAGCAATTCGTGCAATTGTGAATTCTAATGAAGACTGTTTTCAAAATCTGATCCTTTAATTTAAATGTGTAATTTAACATCATAAATGTCATCATAGGAAGTGTATCCGTGTTTCTTCTAACTTTTTTTGTGAGTATGATGTTGCTCCATTGATAGTATAGATCATGAAGAAGACCCCTAATTATTTTTAACAAGCCGTGATGTCTCGTTATCGCCTTGGTTTCTTACGAGACGGGGCTGTATGGGCCATATATATAAATATAGAATGATGGTGGCTTTCAGCGACACACTTGATGATACTTTACGACCGTCCTTAAATAAATTGCCCCACGGCGTTGTGGCGGCCCGCGATACTCAATCTGTATTGTGATCGATAACAAGACGAATTGAATTTTCTCGATCGCATTAACTTGTTATACAATGGGTTATCGAATATGTCTCCGAAATCAATTTAGTTAATTAATTTATATCGTCTTGTTTATGTACATTTCAGGAAGAACTGCACGAATTGCAAGTGCAGCCGGGATAGCCATGAACTCATTTCGGAACATGGGGCTCGATCTAGATTAGGATTGACTAGTGTAAATGGAGGGTTGGATGCTCGATCAATTGGATATGCTTTTGTTCCACCTGGATTATCTACTGCCCGGCAAGTGAGTACTTTTCGTAAAATAATTTTAGTTTCTATTCGTAGTGGGGAAATCTAGGTAGATTTGAAATTTTGTTGTTCCGCCACCTAATTGTAGATGGCTGCACATACACTGTTTTCATAATTATTTTAATTTAAAGTTGTTTACCTGCGAACCAATATTAAATTGTTTATTGTTACAGGTCGAAAGGTATTATTCAGCACTGCCCACGCATGAGGTGCCACGTTTGGGCACCATAGGAGACACGTCGAGGTCGCAGCGAATAGCGCGCCAATTGCCCAAACAGGACCTGTCGTTAAATGCGTGCAAATTTCTTGAGCCAGACTATATTTCTAGTTATCAGGTAAAAAAATTAAACCTGCAACTATGCATTAATATAAATTGCATTGCTTCTTGTCCTGTCTTCAAGAATGCACACATTATTAGTTTGCGCTGCAATATGATAAGAAACACCAAGGTCATTACAGCGAAACTTTTTGCACGCTATGCGAATTCCAAATCCAATTCATATAGAAAACGGCTGCATTCCCAAACAAGAAAACATGCAACAGTTTCATATTGTGTGTTTCGTTTCCGGAACTAACCCAGTTTTCATCGATTTTGTCGACAAATTCTCATTTGATTGCTAAGGTAGAACTTTCATGCCAAGGCCGTCGTTGGTCTAATACCATAATAAATCGTCCTTTTTCGCGTGTCAAATAACTTCATATAACTATATTTTCTGATGACACGCAAGCACTATATAACGATTATTAGTTCAGACCAAAAAAAATGCTTCAAACCAATGAATAACTTTCTTTGTTTCATTAATTACAGGACTTCATATCGGCCAGAAATGAAATCGCATTGGACATTGGCGTTGCAAAGGATGCACCAGCGAATTCTCATTGCACCTCGTGCAGCAAACCCCTACTCAGTCAAATACCTTGCGTGTCGGCGCCTCGCATGGGGAGTGCCCAACTCTGGCACCCCGATTGCTTCAGGTGTACGACGTGTAAGGATCTGCTTGTTGACCTTGCTTACTGTGTCTATGAGGACAATATTTACTGCGAGCGACATTATTCGGAGCAGTTGAAACCTCGATGTGCATCATGCGATGAGGTAAGTAATTTAAGTCATTTTCTCTTCTCTGTGCAATCAATACTGTATCAGTTTTGTGTTTGGAGTGGAATATTAGTATCGGTATTCTGAGGAAGGTTTAACTGTTGGCGTGTTTGTTACATAGTTCTTTGGCTTAACTTTCTAAACGATTCACTGAATGTCTGAAAGCTATTTCTACTTTGCACAATAAAACGTAGACGTTTGGGGCTGGCTGCAAACGTGCGCACACTGTCGGCGCTCTGTTTCATGTTCCAGTTCTATTTTAAAATGTTTTGAAGCGAACGTGGCGCTTACTCACTTTCCCGCATGCCTTCCCGTTTTCGTGCATTAAGCGCGCTTGTTTTCGAAACCTTTTTTAATGCGCCGCACTCATTTAGGGCTTAAAATATTATCATCGTCAAAATAGCGAAAGGAAAAACAAAAACGCATCGAAAATAGGTTCTACTCGGGATAGGTTGGTCGCATGGAGGCATCCCGGCATCATCGTCATTGCCGCGTTTGTCAGTAATAGTTGTGCAGGCTGTTAAGAAACTTGGCCGCCGGGAATTTTAGTGGGATTCAATTTAAACGCTAGAAATTTTAATGTAAGTCAAAACCGCACATGCATGATCCAGCCAACCACGAAATAATATAAACACGAAAATATTCACGGCAGTAAAACGCGAGAGTTTTATGTTTTCCACATAACAAACGAAGATCGCACAAATATAATAATAATTTACGACCGCTTGTTGCATTTTGGCGGATACTGAAAAAATCATTTAAAGTCAATTAATGTCGCGTTTGAGAGTCCAACACTTGAGATAATAAATTACAAGTTTTTTCGGAGACAATAGATGAAAATATTGGATATTCGATTGCGTGCATTGTAGCTCGATGATGGTGCGCAACCCGACCTCAGTCCATCTTTGGCAATGGAGGCGTACAAAAGTGTAGTGAGTCGCCACATGAAAGCTTAAGCTACTGTCTAGAATAACAAACGTATTAAAAATATTAATCAAAGCGAACACAATTTGTTTATAAGCTAGCAGCATTGTATTTTATTTCGATACATGGCTGCAAATATGAATGGCACGTGTGCGCCATGCTTTTAATTTGGTTACCTATTTTGGGCGTTGAAAAAATATTTTAGAGATTAACTGGTTCAGACGGGTGTGCCGTGTGCACTGGACGTAGGATGTTGATGCGAACATGGTGGCTCGGCTTCTCCATTCAGAATCATTTGGATGTTGGAAAACTTTCGGCAATATAAAATATTTGACTCATTTGTATGGAGAAAACCTGCGTACGCAGGCGGAAAGGAACTGAAAACAAACTAACTGCATACCTAATATAAACTTGCGTCATCTACCAATACTTATTAAATGTATTGCGAACATCTGTGATTTCTTTTTATCTTATAATCTCCCGATATTTATACCCATTTACTGATTTTTGTTATGCGGCTGGTCGTTATATAAGTTTGTTTATTTCCTTGTGTTTATAAAACTATTTCGTACGTGGGCACAGATTGTTTTCAAACTGTTTAACCAATTACACATTTGTATGGATAATTTTATGTTAATTACATTCCATGTGCGATTTACATGATTGTCGTGTCTCAATTAAAGCGTTCGATTGGCATGAAAATTAGCTACGTTGTTACAAATTTTATGCAATTACCTACGTATAATATTGTATGCTTATACCTGTTGCAAACGTTTATAATTATTTAAGTCGCACTTGTCTACATCTCAAACTCATTACAAATACTATAATTTTAGATTATATTTTGACTTTTCAACATTGCTGTACTTGTTCTTCATCCGATCTTCTGATCAAATTGCTATTTAATAGAGGTCCATTTTGAATATTTATTGATACGGTCCAGAAAAACACATTCGGAGAAAAAGACTGGCCGAACTTTTGGCACCGATTGCAATTCTTTAAATAAACGTGCCTACATTCACTCCTCGACGCCGATGCGCTAAATGTTATATCAGCAACCGAAATAGTATTTATTCTCTGCTCTGCGACATACAACAGCGCTTTTCGATAGTTATCCGCTCTTTAGTTGTTTCTCGACTTTTCTACGACGCACTGTGCCCAAACTTTACATTCTGACTTATGTTTTTGCAGCCATTTTGCCTTCGATCTGCCGACATTGTTCGCAAAAATAGGAAATAAAACTATTTGATCCTGCAGTGAAAAAATTTGAAATTTAATTTTAAGCATCAAGGATCCAATCGACGCTTTGCCTAACACGTGGACACCTCGACGCGTCGCCGCCGCGCGACTAATACATATTCCTCGCTCAATGTCATTATTAAGATTCGACGATTAAGTAACGACTTTTATTTAGGGTTGGACCCCGGCTAGAATGCTTGCCTTGCTTTTTGCGTTTTGCGGCTAGCGTCTGTATGCTTGCGTATTGGCATGCGTTGTGATTATTTTCTATCAGTTTGTTTTCAAATCTCGTCGACTCGAACGACTTCCAACGTACACTCAGCGCGTTTTACTACTCAATTGCATCGCTGATTTTTTTTACAAACTTGGTCTGAATTTGAATACGCCCTCGCAGCAAAAATGATTAAAAGTGGAGTGCTTGTTAATGTTATATAACTCAAAAGTGTACGAAATTTTCATCGACGTATCGGAAAGGATTCAAACGTGACTCGATTCGACCAGACTTCTTGCGTTTAGTTTTTGGTTTTTGTGAAATTCTTAATCATGGGTTTGATGCTTTCGATATTAATAACTTGTGTTGGCGTCGCTGAGTTGTTGGCATTTTATGCGAACGTTAGACGTCGACTGGTGATGCCGTTACATCCGACGCTGCCACCGCCGCCACCTCGCCTTCAACAGCATCAGCATGACATGGGATGCGTGTCCCAAAATTACTTGAAGGAGTTGAACCGGGAAAGAAACCGTTTGCTAAATGAGATACGCCGTCTCGAAGGAGCGCAGCGCCGCAATTCTATATCGCCGGACGCCACCCACTTCAAAACGTTGCCTGATTCGCAGACGCACACTCATAATGTTTCCTTGCAAGCGGGATCCTCCTCACATACACCTCAAAATGCCACCGATATTAGTCACACATCTTACGGCAATGTTGCCGAGGACTACCTTTCAGAGGATTCTCCACCGGTTTATATCCCTGAAAAACGAATATCTCATGTATTTCCCAGTTACTCAGATGGTGGTAACAAACCTGTCATTAACCTTAATCGTCCTAAGGAGGAAGCACCTCAGATTGTCCTCAATGATTCTGCGTACGAAAGTTCTCAAGGCTCTGAATATTATGATCATGCTGAACATCGCGAGAGAGAATCTTCTCCTTTTCCTACATATGAACGCATGGCACCAAGGGGAAGCATATGCAGCGAGTTAATTGTCAATCCGACAGTCAGCGTTGATGAGGTTGATGAAGAAGGATACAGATCTCATTCGCATAGCTTTAGTAACAAAGGTGAAAATAGTAACAAAAATGATGAGTTCCTCAAGTCTCAGTTTGATAGTAAGGATTATTGGAAGCACAAGAGTAAATCACGATCAAGAACACCCGAAATACTCAGAGAAAACCTTCTTGAGTTTGAAAAGAAGTCGAGGAGCAGATCACCAAGTCCACTTGTTCAACAACATGAAAGTCAACAACAAAAAGTTACCACCACGTCGTCAGGAGGAAGCTCCAGCGAGTATGCGACACCTTCAGGTGAACTAGTCGACAGTAGATTTTGGACGCGCTCACAATCACCATTTCAAAAAATTCTAGATATCTACAAAGCAACGAGCTCCAAATCCGACGTCCAAGAAGCTTACAGCGGAGCAACACTTACAGAGGTACCGCCGGACGACGAAGTGGGCGTCGAGAGAGATGTGCTGGAGATCGTGGATGGAAAGCTTACACCGCACGAACAGCACAAGCGCATGTTTAAGAACAAGAAACAACGTAAGAACAAAAAATTATCGAACGATAAAGATCTCGAATTGGAACAAACACGACTCGAACGACAATCCGATTACGGATCGTACAGCAGCAGTAGTAGCGTCATCGGCGTTGAAGAGAATGCTGTAGATGCAAGCGAATTTAGGGCTGGGGAGCTAGAGGAAGTGCAGGATGCTGGTTCTAGTTCTAGTAAGCAGGGCGAACCGTTCTGGGTAAAGAAAAACCTAACAACGCCATGACTTTTTTGTTTTGCTTTTGGAAATGCCTCGTTTGTTGACAAGAGGACATTTTCTTCAGTGATGTAGGAGATAGATAACGATTACCATTCTACTTATGTTTTGAAGTTTTGTGATTATAGTGCTTTGACAGCTTTTAGTTCCCTAATAAAATATATTCAAAGTCTCTTTTATCTCTTTGACTTGATGTAGTTTTTAGTTTGTCACTAGATCTTTGTGTTGTGTAAATTTTATGTTGTTTTCCTTTTATTTTAATTTTGCATTTCACTCTTCGTTAAAACTTTGCACACGGCACGCTGCGTTTTACACTTTGAGTGATTATCAGTAGCGTTACATTAGATTTATTAATTTCTATCTGTTTTTTTTTTCTTTTGGATAAGAATGATGATGAAAAGTAGAAAATAATCCAGTAAAAATTATTTGCCTCGTTGAATTAAGTTATTTAATGGCTGACATTGTTTACCAACAAATAACAATGCGTAGAAATTTGGTGGCGCTACTGACGAGTGTTTTTCGATTATATATAAACCATGAAAAATGAGTTGCGTAATAACACATCAACAACCGAACGGCAAATTGTTTGACTATGCATTTTGCCACACAGCTGCTAAAGTACAATTGGCACACACTTTGCCCTAGTCATACTAGACAAATATTTCTACATCAAAATTATAACAGGCAGTAAATTATGGGCCGATACCAACTCGGCCCGTTTCTCAAAAATATTCGACATTGGTAGCCATATGGCCCACTGTTTGTACTACATATATCTTCTTGTAATAACGAATTATTCGCAATATATGAGGTTGAATCTATATGTTTTAAGAAAGTCGTGTGCAAAATTGTAAAGCAAATCATGGACGAAAATAGGCGGAAAGCTCCGGTAACCGTTCTAATGTTATGCTTCTGGTGTATAACAAAAACAAAAAACCATACGCACATTTCGATTTGTGTACGTGATGTATATTCACAATGTATACATTATGTAAGCGCATTGGAAACTGTCGAAAGCTGCTACTATTAGAATTCATTTACTTATCTTAACTCAATTTGCAGATTTTTTTGCAAATTGATGTATTTTTGCAGAAAAGGTTAACCGATTTATTATTTTTGGCTCACCAACAAATGTAAACGCGTTGACGCGAGAAAAAATACGTTGCAGTGAAGTCATAAATTCTGGTTTAAGTTTGACAAGTCTGGATTAGTCGTGGATATTTTACTTGAAATATATTGCACGGAATCCCAAATTCTCATGTAATTCACCCGGTTAAGAGCAAATTATGACTCTTCGCTTATTTGCAAGTTTTTTAAAAATAGTTGGTATTTTAAAACTGTTTTTATGCACGTGGTTTATTTAAAATGTAAACGTTCTTAGTAGTAGTAGGCGGTGTGTTTGTATCTTTTAATTAATCGCACTTGCCGTGATTCTATGCAATAACAAAAATAAATTTGCAATATCAAATTTTTCTCAAGTATTTGTTTAATTTTAGAACAAATTTTGTTCGGAGTATTGATTACTAGTTTTGCTAGATGAATACCAATAGAATTTTGATGATATGTGATGATTTGATAAGTGAAAAGCCATTATTGTAGTAACTGGGGCTGAGGGAGTTATTTAAAGATTGCGTAGTTGTGTAAGATTGTGATTGTGATTGACTGGGCATATTCGTATTGCATAATAGTTCATCTGTTGGCATCCATTAAATTTCGACGTGTCGTCCGTAAAATAGCCAAAACATCTTCATTGGCAATATGTTGGTATTAGATTCCATATGAAATGGATTTCGAATGTTAAACGATTTCGTTCGGCAGTCGTCTGCGTTTTCGAAATATATTTTACTATTACGGCTTCATTCTACGATCTCCACTCACGTGGAGTGCCCTATTCAGCCCACCTAAAAAGAAGCAACTATGATCACACCAGCGGGAGCGGCGGCTTATGCACGCGGCACCACGTTGTTCCAATATCTCGCATTTTCTAAAAATATCAGGGAAATTATTAAAACGCCGGCTCGTTTGCACCCGTGTGATGTGTGCGTATTCGCGCACGATCGCAGCCACGCTCTTTCGACGTCTATTACGAATTTTCGGCGGCTAGTTGGATTTTCACTCCGGTGCAGTTCGTACCTATCTCGCACTGTCGGCAGAAAATTTCGGTTCTCGCCTCTTCTTTCTTGTCTTTTGTGTATAGTGTGCGCATAAACCCTGAGCAAACATGGGCGATGTCGATACCTTTTCGAATTTTACGGTCACAGAGAAGAAAACTAAGAAGGTCAAGAAGACCACCAAGCGCCATGAAACGTCGGGCGATGGTGGCACCGAAGTCACCATCACGGAAATCGAACGAAGCACCAACGGAAATCAGGGGTATGTGGGTGCCATTTTGTGAACAGGCCGCTCTCGCTGCTCTCGGAACACTCGACGTTTTTGGTTGCTTATTTATTTGATTGATTTAATGATACTGATGTGTTCGTTTTATTTCACATGTATTCCACGACAATTTGATAATTTAGCACAACGAAATCTTGCCATCTCCCCTTTCAGAACTATTTGCTCGCGGTCACAAATTCAATCTAACGAATGACAAATATAAACTCTTTACAACATGGCAACACGTACCCCTTTGTCTCAATCGAAAGGTATATACATTGTACATAGAAACTACAGTTATATAATAATTTTAAGATGATCTTCTGGACGTTGTGCTTTGTATATATACTGCTTTTTGATGTTTTTTGTTTTTGCTATCGTATATTTAGCAGTAAAACGCATTTGGCATTTATTTTTCTTCTAATTTTGTACTCAACTCGCCGCGCACTGTGCATAGCGATATAATAATTACATTCTAAATATAAAATGCGACTCGTCATTCCAATTCCAAGAGAGATGTAGTCAGATTTGGCCACGGCTGTGAACCGCAAAGTTAAAAATATCTTAAATGTTTTCCGTTAAATATGGTAATAAGCGCTGTACATATTTCAATGAAGCGAAGCCTTATTTGTTAACGTATTATCTCACTCTCCACGGAAAAATATGCTTAATTTTTTGCTGGATTGCTGAATATAAACATTGAATTTTTGAATGAAACTACTACCATCCACGTTAAGTACTTACGATCCGGTTTTTTACATTAACGCATCCAACTCTCTATACTCTATTCTTCGCTGCTGTACATATAAATAATCGCCATGTCCTTCCGATTTTTATTTGTTTGTGTTGTTTACAATTACTTACAAGTTGCCGCAACTGTCGGCAATGCCTAGATCATGAACTAATTTGACATTGCGCGTTCAGCTTATTTTCAGTGGCGAATACACGAAGGCGATGAACAAGGACTGGCACGGACAACACTTTTGCTGCTGGCAATGCGATGAAAGCCTCACCGGCCAACGCTATGTGCTGCGCGACGAGCACCCGTATTGCGTGTCCTGTTACGAATCGGTGTTCGCCAACGGCTGTGAAAAATGCAATAAAATTATTGGCATTGATTCTAAGGTAATCTGATGGTGAACAACATTTTCTTATTTGCAATTATGTGGTGTGCAATTTTTTTGTATTTTACTTTAGGATTTGTCTTACAAAGACAAGCATTGGCATGAGGCTTGTTTCTTGTGTACCGCCTGCGGCGAGTCTCTTGTGGACAAGCAATTCGGGTCTCGATCGGATCGCATCTATTGTGGACGCTGCTACGATGAAAAGTTCGCGTCTCGTTGCGATGGATGCGGTGAGATTTTCCGTGCTGGTAAGTACTAAAAACAAATTGGTAGAAAATCAATAAGTGAAAGTAAAAATTGCACGCGTTAAATAAGAAACAAATTTCAAATTCCCCTAATGATGCGTTTGTCCAAATTTAAACGATGATGTAAACCAAGCAAACTTTTAGCCGCTTCAAACACATATGAATTTGTATATAAACCCAACCGATTTTATCATGTTTTTACGAATAAAATTGATATACGATTGTTAATGTTATGCAAAGCTAGGCAGAGCGCATCAGCTCCATTCGATCCATTCGAAATAATAAACATTTAAGAAGCGTTAATGTCAAAAACATGCAAACGTACACATTGGCACAATTATTATAAATACAGAAAGTTGTATGATAGAATTTCCAAGACCATTAAGAACTGAACATTCAAAAGTTCGCAAAAGGGAAGAATGACTATTTTACATAAACAAATTTTAATGTTTTGATATATGCGTCTTGTTTGAGAAACAGTGTCGTCCTTTCAACTTAGTTAGATCATCGTTTAACTGACTAAAACTAAACGTATTCATTGAATATCAAGGTTGGTATATCAATTGTATATCAATAATTGTCCTGTCACACTAAACTGGGAATTCCGTGATGTGCGAAATTTTATTATAACATAATTTGATCAAGCGCTGTTAGTGCATTAGTAATTCACCGACTCGAATGCGTATTTAATCAACATAAGGCAATATATTTATTTACGCTTTCAACGAACTGCGATGCTTCTATACTCGAGAGGATGTGTCATTTGAGGCGAATGTTAATTTATTGATTAAACATGCGACGCATTTGCGTGAATATTTTCAACATGAATTTGTTTTTGCCACGTGTCGCCGCTAAACTCCATAATTGTGCACATTTGGTGCATTTGTTAGGTATTGCGCAGTTTAATTAACCTGTGTTTAGCATTCATTCCTAGTTACGTGGTTTGCCGAAACTTGAATTGATGATTTCAGAATTATGCAATGTTTGTTTTTCTCAGCATTTCTCAGGAAGACAGAGTTTTAGATTTTTAGTTGCTGTTGTTAGTTCTCAAGTATATATTGTTGATGTAGCTATTTTGTGAATTTGGTGTAATCGCGTGCATGTTGTTCGTGCTATGTACGCGTTTTCACCATATAACGCTTCGACGTGTTCGCCTTCTTCGGAGCGCACGAAAATTGAGCGTGTAGGCAGACGTCGGATCTCTTTCATATCGTTATACCTACGCGGTTTATGGACGAGTATGAGAACGTGTATAAAAGAGAGTTAACCTTGTTGGAGGTACAAAATCGTAGTTTATTCGATTTCGTCGCTCGTCGCGTTAGCGCGGATATTGTTGCGGAAAAGACGTCGCTGTCGCGGGCGAACAAACGCGAAGTCCAGTGAGCCACCGAGTGCGCTACAGTTCGAATGATATCATTCCGCGCGTATTAATACACACTGTGAATTGTTCCAAGACTATTATCAATTACATTATACACATTTCGCAACTATGGCAGGTGTTTTGAGTGAAAAGTTCAAAAGTATGAACCTACAGACGAAAACGGTAGGTGAGGATAGGATTCGTCGCGCGAGAGACCGCGATGAGGATATCGCTATTCTATCAATGGAGTTGCCGGGAGAAGGCAGAACCTTTAAGTGTGATCTTGGTCTGGACTGTCTTAAGGGAGATTGTTACGATATCAAACCAGGTGCGAAAACTAAGCTATAGAAAGTCGTAACGGAATTCCTTTTTCGGTTAGACATAATTTCTCTATCTGATATTGGAAAAATTCAATATCGATGAGTGGAACTGATCCGCCTACTCAGAATGATTAATTGCTATGTTTGAAATCAAACAGGTAGTGAATAGCTACGACTACGACTCAATTATGCAAAATAATTTTTTGAAATAGCTAACATAACACCTGTCGTATTTCTACGTAAATATACTGTTTTCCTTTTTTATTCAATCATTTGTATTGCAACTTACAGATGCGTGTAAATTACTCGTAATACCGTTGCAACTTTCTTCAGCTTTAATACGTCTGCCATACAATTAAGCTACCAATGTGTAATTACGTGCTACTGCCGAACAAATAGCAAGCGTTGTTCGATGTCATAGGTCAAAGCCTAGAGTCATGCGTTCAATATAATCTAATTAATTAACGGGACATAAATTTGATGAACTTCATATGACTTGGATGCTCATTAAATTGCTTTCAATTCATAATTATAGACATGATTTAATCATCAAACGATACTATTGAACACAACTGTTGATGTATCAAGTTGTGTGATTCAATAAATAATATAATAAGCGATTTTAGCTCGTTTCATAAAATATAAACGACGTGAGTCATCGCTCGAAACAGAACTCGCTTGCATTTATCGTTTGCATGCCAACCTAGCAAGTGGCACTTAAATGGATTTATATTTTAATGCGGCAAGAAGCGCGAGTATACCGAATTTAATTTAATAAAAGTTTTAACTTTTGTCCATGTGTATTAACTGATTAAAAATTATTCCTACCAGATTATTATATTCACGCCCAACGTTAAATTCATTTATGTTTAATATGGGAATGATTTCATTACATATCGTGTTATTACATTATAGTAAGAACATGTGTTTTGTTTTTGAAAGTGCGGTGCGAAACCGTAGGATAAATTAATATGTAGGTCAGTCGAGTATTTATTTCTCAATACAATAATTATTTGATTGATCTTAATGACAGTGTTTTCGTGTGGGATTTTAATCGGCAATTTCGCAGATTTTATTTGTATACTAAAGTAAAAGTTTTTAATTGCATATCGCTAGGTTCAATTTAACACACGCGTTTACTGAATCGTGACTGGTTTGACTAAATCTTATGTATTAATCGCAATGTGTTTGTTTTTTAAAACAGGTACCAAGAAGATGGAGTACAAGACTAGGCAATGGCACGAGAAGTGCTTCTGCTGCGTCATGTGCAAGACTCCTATCGGCACGCAGAGCTTTATTCCTCGCGAACAGGAGATCTACTGCGCTAAATGCTACGAGGAAAAGTATGCGACGCGTTGTATTAAGTGTAACAAGGTAATAAACATTAAATTAGGTCAATTATACGAAATTACCATTTTTGAATTTTAATTTATTTTAGGTGATCACCAGTGGTGGTGTTACCTACAAAAACGAACCCTGGCATAGGGATTGCTTCACGTGCACAAACTGCCAGAACAGTTTGGCTGGCGAACGGTTCACCAGCAGGGACGATAAGCCCTACTGCGCCAATTGCTTCGGCGAATTGTTTGCAAAGCGTTGCTTTGCTTGTAGAAAGCCTATCACAGGCATCGGCGGCACCAAATTTATCTCTTTCGAGGACAGGCACTGGCACAATGACTGCTTCTTCTGTGCGTCGTGTCGCACCAGCCTTGTTGGTCGAGGCTTTATTACAGACCAAGAGGATATCATTTGTCCCGAGTGTGCCAAGCAGAAGCTGATGTAAACCGACCAAATTGCAAATGGGTCGGCGCTTACATTATGATAATCTCAAAGGCCCATTAATGAACACATAAACATCAACAAACATACTCGTACTCGCCACACAATTACTAATTTAAAACAACAATCTTCTAGATGCACACATTTTCATGTAATTAAGTCTCATAGGTTGATATACTCATCATGTCAAGGATTGATTATGTTTGACGCGCATATCAATGGAATATCACGGCATAACCCAATAACTGGAGTATTTCCCGATCCAATTTTGTACACAAAAGTGCTACGTAAATGCCTTACTTATCATAATCGCTTTTATATAATATGAAATGTTAATCGAGCAATGGCTTGAACAATCTGTTTTTAGACATGAGAACAACATATATCAATCGTACATTATTCTAAATGAGCAACGTGGCCTTAATAGACAAAAAAATAATCATATATTATAAAATAATATTTATAACAATGTGTTTACAATGATTTTTAAGTTCGTTTGATATGGTTTGAATTAAAACAGAATACTAAGTTGAAATACTGAACAAGATACGAACTGTATACAATAGATCAATGCAATTGACAAACACATACATAACAATCATAAATGATTATTTTAATAATTTTTAACTTGTATAAAATAAACTATATACTCCATATATGTTATTATAATATAAATATTAGTGGAATATTGTATTATATTATATTTGCTTGAAAAGCATTTATTATTGAGCAAACATTGGTGCTATAAAACTAGTTATGTAGTGCTATTGTAAACGCTGTAAACACAAACTCAACTCTTCACTTCCGACACGACATACAAGAATATTTACTAAATCATACACACAGGAGAAAAAACTACAAATATGATGGTCAAACACATTCTAAAACAATACACATGCTTTTCGAACTGTGGGCAGACTCGAAATAGGAGAACATTATTACATTAATCGAATTAATCAATTAATTTAAATTAACTTATATACATACGTGTGTAAAGAGAATTCAATCAAACTAATGGATTGTTAATTGTTTACTGTTATGCTTTTTTAAAGTTTTTATGTATATGATACAGGGCGTGCTTTGCTTCAAGTTAGAAACATGTTATATTATTAAATATTTAATTATTCATGATTGATGCTGGACGATAAGCATCAAACAAAAAATGAAGAACGAAATTATTAATAAAATCATATTCATTGATTCACATCCCGATGTTTATTTATGAACATAGATTAATATATCAACTTAGAAGGTACGTATTACATGTAATTCATTATTGTATAGAAATTAGTTATACTTATTTGTATGAAAGCAAATTATTCTTGTGATTGTATATCCTGCACTTAATATGTCTATGTTGAAGAATTTCATACCTTATCTATATCGACGATTAAATTTTTTCTTGAGCATGGATTGTCCGGTGGGCAACATTTCATATGTAGGAGTCACGGTTACTTTCATAGGCAATTCATCCATAGGACGCATTTGCATTGGATTTTTGAATAAATAGTTATTCATATTTATGTTACCAGTTTTTCTTGATTTGTAATTATTGTAGGACATAAGGTATGAATAATACGGAAGAGAATGATCTCGGTGGACGTCAATTTTTAACTGAAAAATAATATGTATCCAAATATATATTTGCAAAAGCAAAACGTCAATTATACCTTTTTGTGAGGATTGTGCAATCGATAATTGCAGTTTCCAAAATTATCCTTTGGTAGGGGTATTCCAGCTATGTCCTTTAAAAATAGAGGGTTGCCGTTCACAGCCACAGCTGCATCAATCATTGCCTGAAATCTACTCATTCAACAAAATATTTTAAATAAATATTTAAATTGTTATAAAATACGTCTTCGTCGGGTAATTTTGTACAGTCTTGGTATCGCAAATTTATTGCTAATTTTATATCATTCTTGTTGATGGTACCAGGATTACCACCTGCATTTTTTTGGGAATAGAATTCAGCACTTTTTAATAGTTCGATTGCCATATCTATAAAATTAAAAATTAATAAACACTTCATTATTTTTAGTAATACCGTGCTTTCGGCGATGCATGTTAAGTTTGCTATAACTTGAGGACTTGCGTATTCCATATTGTATTCCTTCAACATCTTCTTTACCTCCATAACTAGAGGATGAGGTTTCTTTTCATGCTTGATTTTTTCTTTTTGGTTTATCTTCAACAGCGACATTGCGATTTTGAAAAATATAATCAATACTGGTTCAATTACACGCAGTTATTGGTTTCTATAAACAAAGAGATAATAGAGTGCTGTGCAAGTAACAAATGAATGGCGGACTCATTTAACTCGGGTTTTTAGTATGATTTTATTAGTATTTATTTTTTGCCATTGCGAAATGGGATGTACATACAAAATGGCACCACTATTGGGGCCCGTTGCAGGTACCACCAAAAGTCTCTGCCATATGTATTCTTTTCGGTAGATACATGATATTCTTTTTTCGGTGATGAAGACCGTGGTGAATCATTGTTATTTGATTCTGAAAAAAAAAGAAGCGTAAACTCATACAAAAGAAGTTTACTTGAACAGAAGTTTACCTGGAATGACTGCAAATTGATGAAACAGACAATTTCGATGAAAAAATATAGATTTATGTCAACATTGACGATGTCATTGTGCGACAATATCAATTGTTTCTGAGTTAGATCTCAATAACGGCCAATAGAAACTGTCTAGTAAAATTAATTTTTTTTAAATTAACAATAAATCGTATAATATATTAAAAATCCGCTCTCAGCCTTTAACACTTTAGCACCTTGTACCTAAGCAACTGTGGCTGTGAACGGTAGCTTAAATCTTTAGATGCGTTTTGACTAGTGATTTTGACTTATCGACAGACTGTACTTAAAAAATGGATTACAAAATACGTTTATTTGGCACTGGCGACACTCCAATGAAACTCATTTTCTACTACTACTGATATTTGCAAATGTAATTTTAAAATGATTTGGATTAATTTAGATACTATTGACTTGATCGAACATGGGTTAAGTATTTTTTAATAATCATATTTGTTAACATATTCATTTAACGTTTTTCGCTAAATTAAATTTAAAAACCAAGTTGACTCTGTTTTCCAGATAAACAATGATAAATATTGAAAAAAACTTATATGATAACCACCGTTCCATCGTCCGTGGTATTTAATTATTTACATGCCTGTTGCAGACAACTTACTCGTAAGTATTCTCTTGTCTATACGTTCAAAACTCTCTGTCTCATTTTAAATTTGTCCTCTCTTCGCCATATTTGTGTTAACCATTTTCGGTTTTGGAGGCTCGATAATTCGTCAGCCTATTAGGAAATGACCCTTTGCTAGAATTTTAATTACATTTGTATCTTCAATACCTGCGTGTACAAATAGAACGTAAAATTAATGTTGCTTTCAATCTGCAGGAGTTATGGAGCTAGTAGCTTTTCATATGTAAACGTAGTACTTGAAACCGCACTATTTAATTAAATTCCGCCTTTCATTTATTAACAGATCCCATAAACATATTGGCATTTTCGCTATACCTACATATGTACAGAAATTTCTCTTCTTGATGTAAATCTTCCAACCCAGATAAGAATGCATTTGCCATCAATTCTTTTAATGCTTCGATATGTATCGCTTTTGTTGCCAAGGAAAAAAATGCAATATGGCCGGCGTATTTTTCAATTTTCCCGTTGCTGGTGGGTACCTTGATTCTACCAGCATAGGCCACTCCGATGTGTGTGACAACGATCCGCGCTTAGATCGAAACAAGGAGTACCAGGAGTAAACAGAGTAGGTACACATCATAAACGGAGTACACATCAACAAGTTTAGAAATGTCTCGAGTAGTGATTGACTATTCGGCAATATTTATATTTGGCAACCTATCTTTGAAAATAAAAATATTAAAACAAATACAAAACTTTTTATATTCGTTTAAATTATAGAGTATTGAAATAAATATACACGATGGACATCTTATCCAGCTGCATGTTGCTCTAACCAACAGAAATTGTACAGTGGTTCAAATTTTCGAACCTGACCTTGATCTGTTGTCGCTGATCGTGGCGCAGCGCAGTCGTGTATGGTGGCCGCCCAGTGAAGCAGTCGCTACAATCTATGGCCGCTGTGGTAGAGCTGAAGCCATGTCAAAGTTGTGCGTCGCTGTGCACGTCTGGCCGTGCGGCAACTACGGTAATTCGATCAAGCAGTGAGACCTGAGCATAGGTTCCGAGTTTGTGAGTTAGTGGCGCTTTGGTAGCGTTAGTAGCGCCGTAGTGAGCAACAGACATGGCTCGGTCTCAAGTGTTTTTTACTTCTTCCGCGTTTGTTTGTGTTATAAATTAATGAATTATCTACAACGCATCGCTTTAATGTGAAGTGCAAGCGACCAACGTGCGTGCGTCTCGTTAAACAATAATCGCGGAAATGGAAGTACTTCCAGGTATAGCAAGTGTTTGGAATGAATAATACTGTACAGCCACCAAAAAAAGCAGCGAACGAAAACGACTAACACTTCGCACACAGAACTGAATATATCTTATCCGTGCATACTTCCCGTAGTCATTTGAATCTCTGCAATTGAATATTTTGTGTATTTATAGAGCGAAATGGGTACGAGACGACATTTCACTTATTTTCTTCACAGATGCAACATCTTTGCTTTGCCGCTCACACGGCTTCCGATGCACTGCATTTTAGACCACACCTTTACAAATAAAAATATGCTATGTTTTTAGTGTGCATGGTGTAGTGATTAGTTTGCTGATAATTTATTGCCGTTTGCATGTTTTAATTGAAGGCACATTCAGTTTTTGTTTAGCTGCAATAGTAACAATCTTGTTTGCCAAATATATTCTTGGTGTAATGACCATGTATTTGTTTTGATTTTCAACTATGACAAATATTGTTTTAATTGTTAGTGCATGTTCTGTATTACCTATCAGTGGATGATGACAGAATGAATCAGGTCAGGTTGGAGTCCACCTTTGTTGCTGGTTTTATAAATATAGACAATGTGGTTACTCATGGTTCAGCTTTGATTCATTATTATTTAGAATGCACTTGTCTTTAATTTTAAGTTAATTTAATTATGGTTGAATTTTTTTCAGAGGGTGTCACTGTCCCTTTAAAAAAGGGCCCTGGCCTTTATGAATTTCTGGTTGAAGCTGAACTTCACCATTACTTTAATAGCTTTAAGTAAGTTATAGTTACAACTTTCAGTATCACTAATAGAATTACTTATGATAAAAATAACTTACAGAAATACATTAAAAATAACCCACCCCTCTCAATTGAAGTTTACTACTGAGGGTGATTTAACTGAACTGGGAATGTCTAAGCCTGAAATACGTCGCTTGCGAAAATTCTACGAAAAACACTTTCCCAATAACTATCTTTCAAAGTTCAAGAAACTACTACTTACATCAAGGAAGCAGGAGAATAATGCAGCTGAAACGATGCCGTCAAACGACAACATCCCCATCAGTCGTGCGCCAAGAGTCGCCAGCAAGCACATCATCCCAGCAGCCAACATCACCGTTAACAAGGAATTGGGTGTGGGCGAGTTTGGCATCGTGCAACAGGGTGTATGGTGCAATGATGGCGAGCGCATCCAAGTTGCCATTAAGTGTTTGGCACGTGAGCGCATGCAAACCAACACGATCGAGTTCCTCAAAGAGGCAACTATTATGCACTCGATTGATCACAATCATATCGTGCGTCTCTTTGGCGTCGTACTAGATACTAGTTCCTTTATGTTAGTAACTGAATTAGCCCCACTGCGGTCGCTCCTCGAATGCCTCAAGGAACCAAGCCTCAGGTCGAGTTTCCCTGTACTGACGCTCTGTGATTTTGCCGTGCAAATATGTGATGGAATGCAATACTTAGAAGCTAAGAGACTTATACACAGAGATCTGGCTGCAAGGAATATTTTAGTATTCTCCAAGAATAAAGTTAAAATCTCAGACTTTGGACTTTCCCGTGCTTTGGGTCAAGGGAAGGATTACTATCAGACGAATTTCAATGTGAATCTCAAGTTGCCGATAGCTTGGTGTGCCCCTGAATGTATCAGTTATTTACGTTTTACTACCGCGAGTGATATTTGGGCGTTTGGGGTAACACTCTGGGAGATGTTTTCCTATGGTTTTCAACCATGGGCTGCTCTGACAGGGCAGCAAATTTTAGAAGCTATTGACGAGCCTAACTTTCAACGTCTCGAACAGCCGGATTGCTGCCCACAGGAGCACTATCAGCTCATGTTGGACTGTTGGCGGCATGAAGCGGTCGCCCGGCCTCGATTCATTGATATAGCGACGCGCTTGATTGACTGTCGGCCGGAACAAGTGCAAAGTAAACTTGCTTCCGCCGATGCCCCTCATTTGTTGCCGTATCGCACTGGCGACATTATCACTGTATTAGATAAACTGTGAGTACTATTAAATTAAAAATGCATGGTTTATAAATTGTTTATTTTGTATTATGTGTGGTATAGTTCTCATCGTCCCTATTGGAAAGGCGTGACTGCTAATGGAAAGACTGGTTTGTTTGACCCAAGTAACGTTGTGGCTTACTTGGGCAGCGACTTACCGAGCGCAACATTCATGCGAAGCGATTCGACGCGCTCGTCAGCACGCAGGAAATTGCGAAGTGAAATGATTAGTGCACCTCAAGGAGACTTGAAACATACAGGTCACGTGGGCTTGGATGGTGCCTTCTTTGGCGATCTAAGCTTCCTCAATGGCGCCAAGGTTGTTGACGTAAGTCTAACACCCGCACCTAAACGCGTTGTTGCACGTGGTTACGCAAAGCATTTACAGTACGGCGGCATACCAACGCAGGTCGTCGCTCCATACCGTCCTCACGAAGACATTGAAGCCGCGCCGCTGCTGGATGGCGATCGCGCCAACCCACCGCCGCCGGCACCGGCACCCGACCATGAGTATCACGAAATTAGCGACGAGGAAACCAACAATAGCCCGCCGCTTGATCTGGGACCATCACTGATGGCTGAAATGGAACTGATGTTAAACAATTTTGGTAAGATTCAATTCTTTTTATTTGTTGCACGTAATATCATTACAATTATGTTAGGTCATACTCCAACATCTCCAGCAGATCATGAAGGGGCCAACAAGAGCAACGAGCATCGGGAGCGCATGAACAAACCTCGGAAGCAACCGCAGTTGAAAGCGATTTCGTCGCAGGATCAGAAAACATTGGATGCAGCTATGGACCTCGTTAATGAGCTAAGCGCTCGATCTATGAGTGCCCCGGCTCCCACAACGCCTTCTTCGCCGAATAAACGCAAGTTCAGTTTTCGATTTCCTTCTGTATCAGAACATCATCATCATGACAAACCTGAGCAGAGGAGGACATTTTCTGAAGAAGTTCAATCTACACCGGACTTACAGGTAAATTATTTTGCATTTCTATACAAATTACACGATTACTAATGAAAATTTTTCTAATCCTTATTTTTATTTTTGCATTCAATTTTTAATTTGAAAATAAAATAGCATCGTTTAAGGTGCTCGCTATCTTCATTAGATGATTTTTCACAACATAGTATACGCTTGCCCCTATGGGACAAAGCATCCGCTGAATTTTGCTTCGCCAAGTCTCGCGAACTCCTTTCAAAGCCCATCATGGGAACTGTGCAGCGCGGAACGCACAACTCCTGCCGTGAGCTGAATAAAGTAGAAAATGCGTACGCGCGCAATTTAGAAGCACGTTTCCAGGATATGTCGATTGATCACATGTCTATGTATCCTTCTCATATCTATCGGGATCGGACTTTAACAAAATCCGAGGGTATGGCGCGCAAAACGTACAAAAACGACTCAATTCGCTCGTCGCGTTTCAATGCCAACAATCGCGCTTTCCTACTTGATGTTCAACCACCACCTCCATCGCCCTTTAATAATCGCAATAACGATCCCGAGCGCGATCGTATGTTTGAGGAACGTTACACATACGAGCAAACTTATACCCCCATAGGAGGATATGATAACGTGTTTGTTTACGACAACCATCGTTATGATAACTTTATCGATCCCCGCCCGCGTGCGATGAGTTATTCCGAGTCCCAAGAGATAATGCCCAACAAAAAAACGATGGGCAAAAGCATACGCGATCGCAATCGCCGCAGACAATCGTACAACCCACAGGCGTACGCACAAAGTAGCAGTAGCGAATCAGATTGTACTAGTTTAGGATCGGTGGATTTAGACTGGCGACGTCGCAAACGTCTTAGCCGTCTAAGCGCCTCAAACAGCAGCATTCGATCCGAAATGGTCATTCGGTCCCGGAATTGCATCGCCGCACATTTATTAAAACCTGATTTTGCTGGTAAAATACTTGGTCGCTCACCGCCACCAAGTAACAGTGCGCTGAGTGGGCTTAGTCCAACCAGTGCGTCGCGTTTGCAAAATCACGAGGACGAGTCTTCCTCGGATTCCAGCCTTTGAGTAATACATGAAATAAGGAAACAATCAAAATCTGATGAGACTTTTCTTTCGACCGTAAAAAGACTTCTCCGCCTTTGTTAGATTGACAACACTTAATAATAATGTGAAAAGTATACAAAGAAACTGAATTTGTCCGCCCATTTTATAAAAAATACTAATTACTATGTACTAAATAATACCGGTTGCAATTGTTTAAAATGCGTAGTAACACACTTATACTCATTGATGTCATACATTAACACAAAACACGTCAAATAATTCAGATATTAGATGAAACATTCACTCTAGAAATATAACATCAGTTAATCTTAAATTTTAGGATTATAAGTACACGTTACAAGATCATTAATCTTCGTAGTTATCGCCAAAATAAATTGCATTTACTCCAATCAATACAAGCAAGAAATAAAATTGTGTTCAATTGTTTTACAAAGAATTTGATAGATTAGAACATCTTTAACAAGCGATTTTGTTAAGACTGTTAATTCATGACATCTCTGAAATTGCTAAACATAAACTCAACACGCAACACACTTGAAAATGTTCCAAATATTAATATAATCACTAATTTTTGATAAAAATCATTAATCATACCATAATGTGATATTTTATAATGTGTTGAGTAATGGCACATAATAGTTATCTACTTCAACAAAATGTAGCAGCAGAATTGGGTATCTACGTAGCTTCTTGTATCGTTACGACGTTTTTATGTCGGTTGCATCTGCATCACAATATGTTAATCTTGCTATCAAAGTAATATAATCTAAACTATTTAAGAAATTTTATTATCTAAATTTGTGTTTCTCTAATTTGTTTCTTTTCATTTCTTATTTTTTCTTTGATTTTATTTTATTTTTGTGTTTACCCCCTATTTTAACAGAGCAAAGTAACAGCCGAAGCACAATTGGCGTACCAGAATCTTGTAGAGGGTCCTGCATCTTCAGATATCTCACATTTTATGAATACAAATCCATTGAAGTTACTACGCTCCGGGCCTTTACCTACGGTCAGACCGCGTCAACGCACAGCCACTCTTCCAAATTCGCATACGAAAAATCAAACGAAACCGTCTTTTAATACTTTGGATAATAAGAAATCAGGTACTCTTGAAACGTACACTTAATTTGTATAATGTATAATATGATATATTTTGTAGGATCTGCAGCGTCATTGGACTTACCCAGAGAATTTCCCGCAGATTTAGATCGTTTTAAAGATAATGCTCGATTAACTGAAGAAAATCCGATTCCTTTACCTCCCCGCGACCGGAACAAACCGTTGCTCGCGTCCAAACCTCGTCATACACGCAAACATCCCTTAATTATTCCGTCTTCCAGTATAAAAACAACTTTAAACAAATTTTCAGCCGTTACTCCACCAATTTGCAACAGTATGGAATCATTTGATCACACCGACTCAACTTATTCCAACGATACAGAATCTATTCACTTCGAGCAAAGAATTGATTCTGAATTGGCTGCTCTCGATGATTTATCCGGAGAAGCTGATGCTGTGGATGCACCAATTGACACACCTACAGAAGGCGCTCAACTGCAGCGAGATTATGTAAGTTGTGAAGATCTGTTAGAGTTTGCCGACGCGAAGCCGAGTTCTCGCGCAAGAGGCTTCGAATCGGATGAGGTTCGATTAATGTGTAAAGTTCTCGGCCAAGATGTAAGTTCTCATGTGGGTATTCAACCTATTCTTAACTAATCATTTCATTTTTAAAGGTGAGTGCTGATAACTGTCTTCGGGCTCTCGAGTTCACCAACTGGGATGTCGGCTCAGCGATCAAAATCTGCAAAGTACAGAAAGTAGTAATCGGCGCCGAATTTATTGCGTGTAACGATGCATTGGTGGCAAATGGCTGGGATGAAAAGAAAGCGGCGCAATGGATACTGCATCAAGACAATGAAGTGCAGGTTTAATCGAATCGAATTAACAATCAATGTTACCTATTATTTTTATCGGCGGACCGATCGAATAAGTTTGCGTATGTTTGGTGATATATCATATTAGTATTTATATTCAACGTATTGCGCTTGGAATTACATTTATATTTCATTTATATTTGAGTGCATTATGTATCTCCTTTTTATTATTGAAGCGTTATTTATTTGAAAATTATTCAAAAAGACTTGTTGATATGCTATAAATATTTACCCATTATATACTCAAATGGTCTCTGCACTAAATTATTAGTGAGGTATTTTGATGTATATAGCTTAGTTTGGTAGAGTGATGAATAAAAATTATTAATTTTATATCAATTTTAAACATTAATGTTGTTAAAAACGTAGTATAGATAAATATATAGGTGTATCTATACTTCGTGCTTTTAACCCGAAAATTATTGAATACAATATTTTTAGTTTATCGAAAACGGAAAACACCTCCTTCCGTTTAAAGTATCGAAACACAACGCCGCGAAACGATAGATAAAGATAATCATTTCGTCACAAGTGCATTCAAAGGAGTATATTTTACAGTGAAATATACAGACAAACAAACAAGTTTCTTTATCTCCTGCAGTTTTGTGCGGTCGCCACGCTGTTGGTGTGTGTACCACGTTAGTCTCATTTTTGTCGTCAGGTGATCTGGACGCACATTTTCTTTACAATATTTTGAGTTCCATAATATTTTGTCGCGTTATTACGTACTGTTTCTAAATGCTCCTTCGGTTGTGCGCGAGTGATGTGCGGCGTTCGTTAAGCGCGGATTGTACACACGAAGAGGTAAAACGTGAGTCATGTTCCGTCGGCCGTCGGATTGTCTTTTTGTATCATACGCATATTTCATATTTATTTCGTATGTTCTTTGGATATGCCAAACGCGCAAAAATTTGTTTTGCATCAAGGTATGTTCTCGCATTTCTTCAGCCATATGAAAATCAAATCCATTATTGATTTAACTTATTTTTACTTCAACCGCGTGGTCTTTAACCACACAAATAATTTTTGTCTCTGTTTCAATACCTACCGTTGATTTGCAATACGTATTCGATACATTGTTTCGTTTTCGTTTAATGTACAAATTAAAACGATTAAGATTGTCGTGTGCCGTCGGTTGCGTTCTTAATTCTATGGGGGTCTTTTTGGCAGAACTCACTACCCACCAAGATACAATTTTTAATTCCGAAAATAAGAAAGAGAAATCTTTTGCTTTTTTTATGATGATATCTTCTTTTCAGCTAGTGCAGCTTTTGAAATAATTGGAATTTTTAAATTCTGTTTTTGGATTTTGAAAGATAATTTAATTCTTAATTGATTATTTAAGTAATTATTTTTCTATCATTGACGGTTTAGGCTCTTTTAATACAAAAAAATTTTACATGCCAAAATGGCTTTAATATACAATTGTGTTTCATGTTTCCAATTTAGAATTTAATATAGGTACTCTCAAATAACAAAAACAGAATTCAAAAATTCTAATTATTACAAAATCTGTATTTGTTGAAATAAAATATTTCGTCATAAAAAAGGCAAAAGATTTTTCTTTTTTGTGTCGAATGCCGTTTTCACTGAAGTTTTCAAATAGGGCCTAAACGGTTAATCTTATGAAAAAAAGTTACGAAAATAATCGATGTAGAATTAAAAGAACTGTTTAAGTATTTATTATCCTAACATTGAACGTTTAAGGCCTATTTGCAATTTTAATTTTAAAAAAATGGGTGATTACACACCAATAGGGCTTTAATCTATAATTTTGTTACTGGTGTCCGATTCATAATTTAATCGAAATTAAAAGTTCCATGCATTGTTAGAGTACCTACAATTCTTTTCATGTTCTGCATTACCATACTGAATGTGTCAGTGTTTACAAACAAACTAAGTTTCCTTATCACGTCAGTCTCATATTTGTCGTTGGGTGATCTGCACGCACATTTTCTTCACAATAATATGAGTTCCTTAATTTCTTCTCGTCATTACGTAAGATTTCGAAATGTTCCTTCCATTGTGCGCGAGTGATGTGCGGCGTTCGTTAAATGCGAATTGTTTATACGCAGAGGTAAAACGTGAGTGATGTTCCGTCGGCCGTCGGGTACTCTTTTTGTATGATACGCGTATTTCATCATTTCTATTTATTGGATAGGCCAAAAGCGCATCAATTAATTTTGCATCAAGGTATGTTCTCGCATTCCTTAAGTCATTTGAAAATCAAATCCATTATTGCCTTTACTTGTTTTTACTCCAACTGCGTGGTCTTTAAGCCTACAAATAATTTTTGTCTCTGTTTCAATACCGTTGATTTGCATTACGTATTTGATACCTTGTTTTGTTTTTGTTTAATGTACAAATTAAAAAGCTTAAGATGGTCGCGTGCCGTGGGCTGCGTTCTTGATCCTCTGGCAGCTTTCCGGGCTGATCGCTGGTTGTTTTACATGATTTAAAATAAAATTCCGCTTTATGATTTATTTTCCAAAGAAAATACAATTTTTGAAATGATCTATTTCTATGTTTTCTTACTTTTTACTTTTCTTTGATTTTCGGGGTAAACATTTTGATTTTTTTAAATTCCTGATGGCTTTCTTCTTATACATATTATCTTGTTATAGTCGCCTTGTTAATTGTTTCCATCCATTTTTCTACTTAAATCTTAATTTTCCTTTGTGTATCACCCAGTAGATATATTTTCCTTATCATTTAATGGACCATATTTATTAGTGTTTGAGCGTTTTACTTTTAAAACTTAGAGTTTTTGCAACACCCTGTATATTAATTTCCCGTGGTGTCGAAAGAGGAAAGATGTACCTATGTTATCCTATTTAAACTTAGGATTTTTCTTTAAAATATTGTAGTTGTCTTTTCGTATCACCCTATATTAAGGTTTCCCGTAGTGGGTGTGCCAAAAGAGGAAAGATATATGTTATCTAACTTAAACTTAGGATTTTCTTCTAAAATATTGTAGTTTTCTTTTTGTATCTCCTTGTATTATAATTTCCGTAGCTATTTTTTGTAACACCCTGTATATTAATTTCTCGTTGTGAATTTGTCAAAAGGGGAAAGATATATATCATCCCACTTAAATTTAGGATTTTTCTTTAAAATTTTGTCGTTTTCTCTTTACATCACCCTGTATATTAATTTCCTTTGATTTTACTTTGATTGTGGTTTTAGATATATATTTCCCTACTTGAATTTTGCATTTTCTCTTTAAATGTTCTTATATTGTTTTTGGAACACCCTGTATAATAGGTTTCCGTAATTTTCGCGAAAATTATGCAAAATTTGTTAGTACAGTAGAATCTTGATAACTCGAATGTCAAGGGAAACCAAAAAAAATTCGAGATAGCAAGTTTTCGACTTAACAAGAATTTCGAGATATGAAGAGTTAACTCATCAAATTTCGACATAAAAAGGCACAATTTCATAGAACATTATGAACTTCGACTTACTGAGGTAGGTATTTGCAGTTCGAGTTACTGAGTATTAAAATGTACGACTAATGCCTCACAGGGAAATAACTTATTGCTCGAGTTACAGAGTCTAAAAAATTCGAGTTAGTGCGTCGTTTGGGGTTCGGCGGAAGGGAATAGCATATCTTTTCGATTTACTGAGGATTACGACTTAACAAGGTTCGAGTTATCAAGATTCTACTGTATTATATGTTTTTCTTTGTTATTTTTTACCCTTGGTACTTGTCTGTATGCATATGGCTATACTGCTCGTATAATTTGATTCAAAATGGCGGCGTATATATTGCTTCGTATTATATATTCCAGGTTTTCATTGTATACATGTTTCAATAAAGCGCTCAATAAAGAAATGTTAAAAGTGACTGTGCCTCCTATGATTTGTGTGTACCCCTTCTATCATTTCAGGTACAGGTCAGAACTTGTAAAAATATTTTTAAGTGTCGCCTGTCTTAAGACGGCTTAAAACTTAGAAATATTTTTACAAGTCCTCATAAGGAATGTTCTTATAAGGAGTTCTCCCACTCGGGGGATGATCCCCCACCATAAAAATTGTTGATATGCCTGAGTATCCTGGGGATGAGGCGAAGAGATAGCGTAGCTGTAGGTCGGGCCGGGAGCAATTGACGGACTGAAATAGTGAGCCTGTAGACTGTCTTATAACGACACGCCGTCAAAAAATATAAAAATCCGAGCCACTCCTCCTCCTATGTTCTTTCAGGGTGGCTTTTCTTACTCTCTATTCTTCCCTGCTCTCTCCTCTTCTCTTCTGGTGGCTTCTTCCCTAACTCTGCATCTTCTCTCTCTGAATATTTTATTTATATTGCATTGCAGCTTACTGAATCGACATATGCAACCCAGATTACATCCTTTATTTTAATATTTGAGAAAAATGCCTTTTATAATTGGGATCGAACCATCGACCTACAGTATAGCAGCATGTGCTGCACACCTGAGAACCACGAGGCTTTCTTATAAAGTACTATTTGTTTCTTCTATTTATGTGTTCATATCTTATGATAAAATAAAACAACAGCATACATGCACAACACTATATTATACTATATTATACTATATTATACTGTGCTATACTCTTACAATGCAACACGACTTAATACCAATCCTGAAAACGACTAAGAAAACACTGGGGATGTATTTAAACAATAATGTAAGATTAAATTATATTTTATTAGCTGAAACATTTACAATTGTTATTAAGCAATAATGGTGCTGGTAAAATTTTAAAACTTAAATAAAAGTAAAATTTTACTTGATGTTACTTACTCCTATGTTCTTCCATCCATAAAAAACTAAAGCGCACAAACACGTTTCCACAAATTGTAGAATTGATGATACTTTACTATTCCACGCGGATATCACAAATGGAAAACTTGTTCTCACATCAAACACATAAATTTAATTTAAATTCCAATAAGTATCCATAGGCACCGGAACATATCCGCCGGACGCAACGCACGCACCGCAAAGGATCACTCAAATCATTCGTTGTGGGCAACACTGGGCTGTTTACTACTAAATGTCTCTGATGGTCAACCGATTCTAGTATTACTACAGAATTAAAATATTAAGAAACGTGTAAAATAGTCACAATGTGTGATTAATGAACATAACATGTGCGCACCACGAGACAGCGCTCAACTGACTAAGCCGGACTAGGCGGGTAAGAGAATTGATAACCGACCCGCAGTTGGAGGGGCATCCTTCAATCTGCACACGAGAAAAATGCTATTACAAATATATTGCTATCAGTTATCAGTTCACAAACAAAATTATTTGGAAGAAATGATTTTAATTAACGTACTGCGGAAAAATATCACATCTGTGGATTCCGCTTGTATTAAAAACAAATGTTGTATATAACAATGGTATACAATTTGAATACTTATGAAAGAAGGTTGTTCTACGACATCGCGTTCGCCCGCTAGACACCTAAAACAACCGAAAATTAAAGCGATCAAAGCACAAAAATCGAACTTTTGTTATTTTTCGTTTTGTTTAACTTAAAAGTAATGTATAAAAGTGACGAGCGCACCGCAACTCTGTGCACCAAAAACTAAACAAGATTTTAAAACAAATCGATAGCTGCGCCATCTGACGTTGCGAAACAAAACAACATAGATAGCTCACACGAACGCCATCTCGCTGTGGCGAAACAAAACATAATAGATAGCCGCTAGTATCGCCCTCTAGTTTTAGGACAAAAAACTTGAAATAAATTACCAAGAAATCTGCAATGAGTCTGCTAATATTTAAAACAACTAATTTAATTCACTTTCCATTGTATGGACCACGTATGAACCATGGAAATTATTTATGTAAATGACAAACAATTTCAATACTTACAATCTGATGAAAGAATCGTTGTCCTAGGACATTTCGTTCGCCAGCTAGACACCTAAAAGAATCGAAAATTAGCACAACGAAGCACAAACATTACATTTTCGCAGGTTTCCTGTATGCTAATCACACAAATTATATATGAAACTGATAAACAAATTCAATACTTACAATCTGATGAAAGAATCGTTGTCCTAGGACAATTTGTTCGCCTGCTAGACACCTAGAACAACCAAAAATTAGCACATCGAAGCCCAAAAATGACATTTTTGCAAGTCTCGCGTGTGCTAATCACACAAATTATTTCTGAAAATGATAAACAAATTCAATACTTACAATCTGATATAAGAATCGTTGCCCTAGGACATTTCGTTCGCCCGCTACACACCTAAAACTACCAAAAATCAGTACATCGAAGCACAAAAATTATCTTTTTGCAGGTTTCCCATGTGCTAATCATATAAATTATAATAATATCAAAAATTATGAAATTATATTATGAAAAATTTATCGACGGACTATTCGAATGCGTTGCAATTAAAATTGCGTTTCTTAAGACGCCTTCGAGAGCGTTAACAGTTATAAATAGTAATTCTACTTAGATAACATGAAGTACTCCATGAAAAAACACCGAAAAAAATGTACCACCAAATTTTCGAATTTACCCATGTTGCAGACACAATTTCTGCAACAAACTAATAAACCCCCATGGAGAATTTAATTTGTCATTTCCCTTCTCGAGTTAAAGGTAGACTATATATGTAATACTATTTGGTAGTCAAGTCTTGAACCTATTTTTTTCCGCAAGCATTTAGAGGTTAAAGTTTTGTATTTTCAAAACCATTTCGTGCTCGTTTATGCAGAAATAAACGTACAAATAAAATAATGGGGGTGCGGGGTTTAACAACGTTTATCGCCAAAAATAGTGATAAATACATGGAGTATTTTGAACTGCACAATACATACCTAATAATAGATGGTAATAACTTAGCGGCCCAGCTCTACCGGTGGCATGCCAAGTGCGTGGATTGTTATGGAGGTGATTATGACCAATATGCAAACACAGTCAGAACGTTCTTCCAAAATTTTCAACGTTGTAACGTAACGCCGCTGGTTATCTTCGACGGTTGTTATGAAAACAAGAAACTAAAGACAATTTATGACAGAGTGAGAGACAGAGTCTCAGCAACAAAACGCCTAAATGCATACTCTGAGGGATCAGTCTCTGTTTTCCCTTTATTTTTACGGGAACTTTTTTCCGATGTTGTTATTAGCACAGGTTGTAAAACTTTTCGGTGCGAATTCGAGGCTGATTATGAGATGGCATGTCTTGCAAAGACAATTAATGCCCCAATCTTAAGCTATGATTCAGATTTTTATATTTTTGATGTTTTGTACATACCTTTCTCTGGACTTGATTCGGTTCCGAGGATGAAAAAGGATGCTAATGGAAAAACTTATCATTTTATGGAATGCAGGTTGTATAAAGTTGATAATTTTCTGAGAGCTATTGGTGGGATGGATAAGGATGTTCTACCATTGCTGGCAACGGTGGCTGGGAATGATTATATTGCTGCAGGAGTGTTCAAAGAGTTTTATGCACAACTGAAAATGGTTAAGAGAAAAAGAATGGATTCTGACCAACAAAGGAAAATCGAATCTCTTATCAAGTAAGTTTGGTTAAGTTGAATACATGAGCCTGCACTAGATAGTTAAATTATTAATTTTTAATTGTATAGATGGTTACTGAATGAAACATATGAAACAGCAGCAAAAAAAATTCTGGGTAGAATAAAGCGTGAGCACCGTCGAAAGCTCGCTGATCAAATGGAAGAAGTCTCTAAAGGCTATCACTGTGTAAAAAGTAATTTACTGCCACATTTTGGCATAGAAGAATCACATACATCACAGTCCTCCATTAGAAAGGCAAGGCGCGATTCACAAATTGATTTATCTACTATTCCGGATGATGTAGTCGAGTGTTCCGTGAGCGATCCCAACTTCATAGACGAAGAAAGTAGTCACGTTCAAGCTGCACCTGGAGAGTTAAATTTGGAAAAAATTGTGGGACATTTTCCAGATTGGTTTGTTCATCACTATCAATCGTGCAAATTTCCTGCTTGGTTTATGGATATTGCCGTTCGCAATCGATATTTTTTTATTCCTCAAATGGAAAATCACGATCATTCACACTCGCACACGATAAGTTTAGAATTGTTATCAGCTTTACATAAAATTTTACGGTCCAATGTCACCAATGATGAGGAAAAACGTCTGTGCAAAACGGAACTTACTTATATTTCGAGACAAGGGAATAATTACATTGCGAACACTCTATTGCCTTTCTGCACTTTACAACTGCCGACTTTGAATGAAATCCCGGGTATGACATCTGATGAATTAAAAAGTTACTTGCATGATATTGTTGAAATGGACGCTACTGAAGTGAATGATTTCTTGAAAAAGTTTGAAAATGACTGGAAATTATACGTAATAGGGATTTTATTTTGGGCGAAGCAATTTCCTGAAGTGAATAAAATACATATATATGCACTTGTTTTAAGTGGGATCACTTTAAACACTGTAAATAAAAAAGTTGGTTACGTTCGAACAATGAAAGAATTAAATCGCAAAATGAAAAACGCCCCGGAGCTAACACCATATCTAAACTTCATTAAAGAAGTTATGCAATATTTTTATATGGATGAGAGAAGTACGCATTCAAAGAGGTCCTATGATATCTACACCATAGATCGTTTTGCAAGATTGCAGAGCGCGCTATTTCACTTAAAATATATAAACAAACTTCTACTGTGCCCGTATGATGATTTCTTGATTTCGGATTTTTACAATGGCACGTTTATTTACAACGTGTTTTCTGCGCTCAAACGGCGCGCGGATCCACTCACGTTTTTGAAAAACATGTTTGCTGCATGTACGGATATCTTCAATCAGTTCCTGCAAATTGCTATTGAGATCACATGTAAATTGGAGAACATTGCTGAAGGCAATAAGAAACCCAGGAAGAGGAAAAATCGACAAAAGAGTAATGATAGTGTTGACACTGAGAATAAGATTGAAGCTAAGAAATCAGACAACCAAGATGATGCGTCTGCTTCAACAAGCTATGATCCTAATAATATATATTCTGTTTTGACAATGGAATAAATTTTAAGATTCAAATTGTACAAATTTGTTTAATTTTTAGTTTGTTGGCGTTTTATAAGTATTTTGGACTTTATGTTTTATATAAAGTTATTTAATATTTTCCTTTAAGCATAATTCCATTCCAACAATTCATAAATTCTTTAAAATTGCCTTTTTATATCATTTTTATTATAAAACTATTATATTGTTGTTTAAATAAATATTAGAATTTTAAAACTTTGTACAAATTGCTTGTGTATTCTTGAAATGCTATAGTTAATAACAGATATTACCAGACACAACGAGCCTAAGATGGAATGCAATTCCAAAAATAGCGTAAACTGACTTTCGAGGAAACTAGAAAAAAACTAGTGCAGCATTTATGTAAAAATGATTTCTTTAATATATAATAAGCTTTTCTGCTATGAATTCATGTGAGTTATTGAATAAATAACAAAGAACTGCTTGCAAATTACACTGAAATTTAAACAGAAATATTCCTGGAGAAATTAATTCTTCACATTATGGGCACTAGCATTAACAAATCTGAAAAACGAAACCTTATTAATTGTTTAATAATGAATTTTTTTATGTGTTAGCAAATCCCTGTAATACAATGAATAAAATCGGGAAATTGTAGTAAAATACGTTTTAGACTGTGTCAACAAAAGATTATAATCACATATACATAGAGATATCTTTAAATTGCATATTTATTACAGATGTAGATATTAAAAATCACTTGATTTTGTAAATATGACACATTTCAGTTCATATTCTAATTAACAATGTTCTAGCATGTGGATACACACCCAAATTATTCGCATTCTCGTTTATGCACAAACTTGGCCATTGGATCATCGTGCCTTATGACGGTATATTCTAGTTTGTATTTCCTGTTATCACCATCTTTCTTTTGATAAATGGCTAGGCCTGAGAGTGCCAACCCAATACCAACGAAGCCCATGAAGGTGCTGCCGATGACTTCGGGGATCTCATTCCATCCTCGTTTGAAAAGGGCTACAACACCACGAGCCGGTGGGGCACTCATCTTAAGCAAATCTTCTTGGATAATAAAATCCAGCCAAATTCTAGTTGATGGAATTTTTGGTTAGAACGTCAGAAACTGTTATGACATGTTACACAACTACTTTGATGTTTATGTGGTTGCATATAGTTTATTCCGAAAACTTAAAAGTTGTTAAAAGCATTCTATAAATAAATAATGCTGGTGACTATTTTGAATAGTCAACAAATAATATTCAATCATACTCAGATTTATCTACTTGAATTGTTGGTAAGAATGTGTCTATATAACATTAAACAAGTTTAAAATCGAAATGTGTCAAAGGTTACACTTGAGTTACTTCATTTGCATTTACTGTCAGTGTGACAGCTGCTTCTGAGGTTATTTGTGTTTTGTTGAAGAGTTTCATCATTACCATCATTAGTAATCGCGAAAATTAGACTATAATGTTTTACTAGTAGTTATATGTTTTTTATAAGGCGTAAATTATCGATGACACAATGGACGATGTATCCGAAATGGACATGCTGCACCCTGAAGATTTCAATGGCTCTGATAATGAAGACACCAGAAGTGAATTAAAATTTGATCCTGGTGTGTTTGATGTTTTATACTCATTATTACAATCTATATCAATGTAGTCAATTTGTAGTAACGGAGAGTCTGGAGGAGCGTAAGAAGCGTGCTAAAATTGAAGATGCTTTACATAGCAAGCAAACAACATTAAGTGTTTGGAGAAAACTTGCAATAGAAGAGTATGGATTAGTCAATGATGATTTGAGGAGGCAAGTATGGCCTTTATTGCTTGAAGTGGATCCAAATGGAAGTGAAAAAGTGCCCTCATTGAGAGATCTGTCTGATCATGCAGAGTACAACCAAGTTGTCTTGGATGTGAACAGATCATTAAAAAGATTTCCTCCTGGCATTCCATACAAACAAAGATTAGCTTTGCAGGATCAGCTTACTGTGCTGATATTAAGAGTTATCATGAAGTATCCGAATTTACGCTATTATCAGGTAAATCGTTTTCTGCTTTAAAAAAAAATCTTAATTTTTGACCATGAAATTGATATACCATACCATACATGATAAGACATATAGGTTTTTTTTGTGTGTATAAGACCTGATAATAAATTAACAATAAGTTTAAACTACGTTTCTTTTTTTATTTCTTAGGGTTACCATGATGTTGCAATAACATTTCTTCTAGTCGTTGGCGAAGCTGTCTCATTCCGAATAATGGAACGCCTTAGTACTGATCATTTAGAAGAGTGCATGGAAGCTACAATGGAAAAGACCAGCTACCGTTTGAATTACATATACCCGCTCATTAAACGAGTCGATAAACAACTCCATGACCGTCTTGACAACGCAATGCTCGGAACAATGTTTGCGCTCCCATGGTACTTAACGTGGTTCGGTCATTCATTGAATCAATACAGAGACGTGGTGCGGCTATACGACTTTTTCTTGGCGTCAGATAAATTGATGCCGCTCTATGTTGCCGCCGCTCTTGTGTTGGAAAGGAAAGTGGAAATTTTTGAGTGTGATGCTGACATGGCAATGATTCACTGCCTACTATCCACAATACCTGATAACTTAAATTTCGAACACGTACTGCATCGAGCATCGGAAATGTACCAGTCATATCCACCGGAAAAGGTTGAGAAGGATGTGAAGAAGCGCGTTAAGGAAGAGTACGTATACCTTGTTTACAGTTTGCGCAAGATTGCTTTACTTTTCAAGAGATTTTTTCTCAGTCGCTTTCACTTTGGCTTCTACTATATGCGCGGTCGTAGGCCGCGTTTCTTCTAGCTTTTTGTCCTAAACTGCAGTCTTAATTTTATTTTTTTAGCTACAGTTTTTCTTTTGTTATTTAAGTTTATGATTGTAAATAAAAACGCTTATTTTGCCAGTATGCACAGTTGTGAGTATATGCTGCTATCTTTCAGGGCCGATAGACGCAGACAAGACGAGTTGAGAGCGCGCAATCGCCTCAATCGCAAAAAGCACGGATGGGTCAATTTGTACAATTACATGCCGCAATGGTTGATGCTACACTATCGCAATAAGTATGGTATACTGTTCGCGACTGCAACACTAGTGGTGGCGTATCTTGCCTATATGAAAGCCAGCGAAGCGAGTTCTCTCTGGAGGTAAGATATTTATGAATAAACAATTTATTAATGTACAAACGAGGGCAAATGTCACGATAACGCGCTTAGTTAAGAATTTGTGATAAATATTTCTTGGTTAAATTGGCTGCATTATGAGTAGAAACATTTTTACCAAATTTAGCGACACTGAAATTGTTTTTAGGAGTATTTGGGGCTCCTGACAAATCGCCATGATACCGGTCGACATCAAGCACCTCATGCATCACAGATTTTATACCAGTTTCTAAATGGTAAGCAAAAAGATTAAGTCTCAAAAGGTAAAGAAATGATACAAACCCAAAAATCGCAAATCGATGTACCGGTCTAGCAAATATTAAGAAATGAATTATGTCACATGTATAGAATAGTTGCTGTAAAAAGTTAAATTCTATGCCATTCAAATTAAACTATTCATATGCATATAAATAATTTAACTAGTATTAACGAATAATTTTAAGCGCAAGTACGTATTGTTAAATATTGTAGTGTAATGAAAAGCATTTCTAGTATTTATTCTTTCATACCAATATTATGTTGTTATGTGATTATTGTAAATGTAAGTGATGTTTCTGTGGTATTTAGATTATGGATTAATTAAGTATTTAGCGATAAAATACACCAAATTACTTTCCAATATTCGTTAGTTCACATAAAATGTTGAGATTATTTAGTATTGTTTTTTATTCACACAACAAATGTATCATTAACACTGCTCGGCCCATGCAAAAGAATGAAATACATACATTAATTTATGCGTACGTTATCAAGTAGCGCCTAATTGCTTTTCCAAAATTTTATTAAAGTAATAATTGAGCAAACATCAAAAATTAAAATGGTTAAAACACCAAATTATAAGTAAATTTAAAAGTTGCCGTAAATAGGAAGAAATGTAAACGTAACTCCTCTGGAAAACTAGTTTTTTTCAAATCTATGTTGCTACTTTAACATATTTGTATTTTATCACATTTTTTCTACTTTGATCGTTAATCAGCAAAACTATATCTATATAATTTTTCATATGTACACTCTGAGTATTAATTGTGATGTCACTTACATTTTCCTTATTACGCATATTTTAAAATTATTTATCGGAATCAAAATACGAATATCCTTGAATGAGATTCTGTATGTAACTCAATACATCTTTGTGCCCTAAAATAGTCATATGATCTACTTTAGGCAATGGTGAAGAATACACTTTCTGCTTCTGTAGGGTTTTCCAATGCAAACACCCTTCTAAAGATCTTACGTTTACTGTACCATCACCATCGCCATTGATAAGAGTAGGTTTACCATCTAGCCAAGTCCCAGGTTTATAATATAATTTTTCAACTGTGGGTACTGCAGTGCCATAGAGACAGTGTACTTCAACTCCAGGTGCTGTGAAATTCAAGGTATAGGGTTTTGTGTCTTTGTGCATATCCCATCCATCCATATAATCTAAGTCACTGTAAAATCAGGTAGATTAGTTATAAATATCAGATATAAGGGACTGCTTTATTCTTACTAAAAGTATTCCTTGATATTGGATAATGAATAGTTCTTCTTATCAGTTTGCACTAGGACTTCATCAGGTTTCCAAAACAAACTGGATGGAAGCAGCCATGCTAAACTTGGGTTTGTGATTTGTTCCTGTTTAAGCACACTTCCAGAAAGAAAGTAAGATCCCAGGTCATCTCCAATTGCATAAACTTTAACTGCTTTGACTGAACCACCCCAAGCACCAGAAAGTGTGACCATAGACTTAATGTGCTGGTCCTTCCATGCTTGTGTTTGTAGATTTAAGAAGTATAATGTCATTGGACCACCCATTGAATGAGCTATTAAAATTACAGGTGTATTATTGTTTTGGGCATATGTTTCTTCAATCAAAGCCTTCAATTGGACAAAATACTCATAGTTTTCATCTGTAAAATATTTAATATTGGTTTTAAATAATTTAATTAAGTATAATATACTTACTTGGTGCTTTTCTGAAGTCATAAGGTGCTCCCCTAATGGTCAAATTCCTGGTATGACCATTCAGCACCAACATATCAGCGATTTTGTTAAAGTAAGACCCAACAGAGGCATGACTAGGATCCAACCACTCCACAGTTTCTGAGGAACCAAATCTGGGTATCCATATATCAACGCCTGGGCTATTTGTGGTCTTCCTTGTTACATTATCATAAGTTAGCTTGATGTTATCAATGAAACAATCAATGACACCATAAACAAGCAGTTCCATATTCAACCATAGATTAAATGTATCCGATTTTTTCTGGCAGATGTAATGCACCGTATCGGTTTTATTGAGCCTCGCGTCCATTTGAGAGCCGCCATCGCCTGGGATTAAAACGACTGGGTTTAGAACGGCTGCAGACGATTTGATCACAACAGCCAGCAGTAAACAAAGCAGACAAACAGTTGGTTGCAGGTTAGATTGGATGCGCATCCTTTTTGTCTTAAATACGATTACACTGGGTTGATGTAATTAAAAGTTAATTTTAGATTGCAGTTACAGCTCAAAGTGTATTCCTTTTACTGAGGCTTTCAGTTCAGTTGTTTCGATTGTTTTGTTTCGCGCAACACTAACTAGCTGGGAACGGTCGGATGATAATGAACACAAACGCATGCGTTTTATATTTCTCCCTAAATGTCCGAGCTGACTGTTCGATACGTTCGATATTTCAGTGGTCATCATTTACGTAGTTGATCTCTGAGGGTCACGCTTTTGTAATGTTATTAACACTGAAGCAAATAAATAAATCGCGTGTCGCGCTTTTGATAAGCAACAATTGAATTAAAATGTGTCATGCGGTTTAGTCATCACAGCCGTGATGTGGATTATAAAAATATTTGTCATTTATTCCATTTTGCAAAAAATAATACTTAACTGTAAATTATAAAATATAAGTTATAAGTATTGGGTATTCATTTTAGATTTGTTGATTGGTTAAAATAGTAAATAGTAATTAGAATTGTTTTTCAATAGTATATAATAAAACAATAAAAAGTGTAAAATTGAATTTTGCGACGTTGTTTAAGAGTATAACGCTTTTATTTATCATTTAAATTGTGTTGTTTGTGTTATTATGTACTATGTATTACATCGATTCAAAGAGGTCGCTGGTACGTTAGGTCTGGTAACTTTTACTGCTCTAGTATTTCTTATTTTTTCAGAAGAGGACGCCACATTGTCAATAGTGTGTGTGTCAATAGTGTGTTTTTAAATTACATGATGCATTTTATTAATATTCCAATTTCATTGGTTCAACAATATTTGAAAATAATTTAAACAAAATTTTAAAGTGATTTATAAAATGTTTGTAATTATAAAGATAATTATAAAAATGTGTATAATTCGTATAATGCTGTAGATAACTGTCTAAGCAAGTTCTATTAAATTACTAAACGCGTAGTGATCTCCTATCGCCTCCTTAATTATATCCAACTTGTCGATTACATCTTTGGTATTCTGGTGAGCTGGCCACCGTCTTTGGCGTATCAGTATGTAAATCGATATGGTGTCTCCTTTCTCGCAGCTATTAGGTGTTGCCGATGGATATCTAATGAGTAAAACAGACAAAAAACGAATAAACAATGCGAGCACTCGATACATCAAAGCCAGATTGTTACAAATTGGTTGTAATTCGATACTTATTGAAATCATACACACACATACACGATGAAACATAGAAAACTATACCAAATATGAATTTAAGCTATGTTCTATTTTAACAAATGAGTACCTCAGCAATTGAAGTGAATGTTGAAGACATCAAGAATGTAAATATTTTTTTTAATGAGTCAGTGCAACAGAACAAGGGCAAGTGGGGTAAGTGTAAATGACAGTAAATAAGTTCACAATAAAAGAAGTAATAAAAAATGATTATATTTTATCACTTTCCTTAAAGTCACAAAGAAGGTAGGTACTCTTGAATACTCCATAGTAAAAATCAGTGTAAAAATCTAAATCAAAATTTAAGGTAAACATTTAATAAAATCATGCGTGTCGATTATCATATTAAACATTGGTGCAGTTTATTGCAAACGTTTTTAAGTATATCTAGGTAAATATAACGTGGGTTTCTGAATCCAATATGAAATATAACGCGTAAATGAATATAATTGGATTGAAATTTGTCAATACACGAGCATTGTACCGATAGTGCGTGAATTTGTTCTGCATATCAGAGAATGATACAGCGCCCGAGGCTTGTGTTCAGTATGGTCATTAATATGCCATAAGATATGTATCTATTTGCTACCGGTATCGTAATAAGCAGGCATGCTAAAACCGGACTTCTGGCGATTCTTTCTTCGGCCGTTACCTGCTTTGCCGATACTCCGGCAGGAATAAGAAGATGCGCGTTAAAATCGTACTGACAAATGACATGCCCGTAAAATTTTAATTGCCTTCTCTACTTCTTCGTCAACTGGCATTTTTTCTTGCCGCGTTCTTCTAACAAAGCCAATCAAATAAAACGCGTGTTACGCGAGTAATTTTCAATGCAGCACAAGCGTGAGCGCGTGCGTGAGACATTATTAGCTATTATGTGCTAGAAGGATTTTGAAATCAATGTATGTCGAAGAAAGATGAAGCTATTGAGGAATCTGATAACATCGAGCTAAAGTCGCAGTTGAAACGAACCGCATAACTCGAGAAGAACTTCCAGTAAAAAAGCGGCGCGCGGGTGAAACGGTCAACATATCGAACAAGTAATCTCTTTTAAAGCACTGTTTCAGCCACAATCCACAATATGCTGATGGCGCGCGGCCGGTTGTTGTTGGGTTGTGTGTGTGTGTATGCGGATGGAATGGAAGTGTGATTTAAGACACGCATATCACGCAGATCGGAGGCACATAAATTCCAATCTGCCAACTCCCGAGCCCGGGTGATTTACTAGTTTTCCTTGGACTTGGGCTCGCGCTTGCGGATGAAGCCGAAGACGTGAGCGTGGACTTAATTCTCTCTTAATACAACACATCTTCGTACGAACGCGCATAATATTGATATCCTGGTCGCTATGCCTCGGTTCGTTTTTTTCCTCTTCTTTACGTGTGATTCAGTATTTGGTTGACACGTAACACTCGGTGTGAAACAATCCGAACCTGTGCGTTTAACATTTATCACTTGGCTCGTTGTCTTCTGTCCGCGCTTGATGTTCTCGCTTCGAGCGCTGCGTTTTCTAAAGCCGGGTCTTTGAACCATATCCCCATTAATGCATAGATCATTATTGTCCGTGAATAAACACACACCGGCTTGCCAAATGACTTTATCAAATTCGCGCTGCTCCAAGAATAATAGCTCGAGTACGAGTAGCGCACAACACACAAGAAACGCTAAGTTGTTGTAAATGTAAAGAATGCTCGGTTGTAGGCGAAACATTCCGATAGATATGGCTGGCGTATTCGAGTTGTGTGTAAGTGACACGTTATGTATATCAAAGCAATAAAGCAATAAATGCCTTAAAGTATTTGTACCGATATTGGTAAATTGTATATTATTCAAGTTGGAAAAAGCCAGCATGGAGACAGAGAGAAATGCGACAGGTATTTGCACGTTATGCAGATGAAGGAATTGCTGAATTCTGTTTGGAGTCTAGTCTGGTGAAAGGAAGTTGATGCTATGGCACACGAAAAATGTTATTGGTTAGATAAATCTACAATATTCATAAAAAGTGTCTCTTTATTTCGCACATAATTGATTAACTTGTATTTAACTAGTGAATACCTAAATATTTTGGACAATATATTATTTGTTTCCAGATTCTACGTAATTCGACTTTTTTCAAATACTTTAATGTGCTATTGAAATAATTTATCGTAAATATAGTTAAATAGGGGACAATATAAATAGTAAAACCAAATTGAATGTAAATCAAACATTGCTTTTGATGTGATCGGCGTGCTCGCGGACTAAAATTTTAAATTCACTCAACAATCCGCGACTTTCGTTCATACCGTGATTGAAATTCTACATCGTGGCTGCAACCAGCGCACAACAATAAAGAATAACTTGCACAATTTTCTATCCGATCTATCTACATATCTATCTATCGAATAATCTATACTTGCATCTCTGAACCGCACGGATAATCAAAGCATCGTACGAATATTTCATTGAATGATCCAATCAATTGATATTTTCTGTTCTGTTTTGTGCAGCGTGTCCGAGTTTAGCGAGTCAGAACTATGTTTGCTTTTGGGCTCGCACTTCAATTGAAGCAGAAATTAATGAAATACTCCCAAATTGATTATGCAATGTTTGATTTATTTTTTGCTACGATTCTTGTCGTCGCTCAAGATTTATTTGGGAGTGAGTTTTGGGCACGCACGACGGACAACGTGATACGTTTCAGTCCCATCGAAAACAGCAAAACGTTGAAGCGATTGGGACAGAGACGTCAATGAAATGCGCAAAGACGATGTCGACGACGATGCCACGCACGTTTACAACTAAATTTATTGCGTCGATGATATATTGATTGGGTAAGTCGACCAACAAATAAATCGATTGTTTAAATATCGAAATATGATGTGAATAAAAACTAAAACAAAAATGTGATCTTGTTAGAGACAAGCTACCAATAACAATACATCACCTGTTTTGTGTGGTCCAAAAGTTTCTTCTATTACAAATATCTTGCAAGTAAATGGAATGAAATAGAAAGTTTTCGAAGGAAAATTTATCGTCGAGAGTATACGAAATGACAAACGAGGTTTATATTTCATAATTGCTCCCATTGTTAACGTTACAAATCACACGCTTCTATATTATCTATATAGTCTTTGGTTTAAAAATTTTATGTGCTTATTTTAAGCTTGTATCACCATTTTTGTCCGTGTTTACTTGTCATAATAAGAGAAAATCGTCGTAGGGAGTTTCTCACAAACAGTTTTTATAAAAATTTTTGTTTTTCTTGGTTTGATATTTGGTTTTGGGTTTAACTATTTTAAAATGGGATCGTGCACAATGTAGTTTATACATTTGCTAATCTATGAATAGGTACACGTACAAGTTGTGGTAACGTCACCAAAATCCTTTCTCATCAACCTGATACACAGTGCACTTGAAAAATCGCTTTGCTTTAGTTCATTTCATTGAATTTATGGTTTTTGGTGTATTGTGTCTTTTATTTGCATTGGAATTTGCTACCTGTTGCAGAGCAGTGCATATTAGCTTCTACCTGCGTTTCAATCACTTATAAACTCTACAATTATGAGCATAAAGTTTTTTTTCCTACAAACTTTTTTTGTAAATAAACAATTGCAAAATGAGTGATAAATAGGATATGCCAAAATAGATTAAAATAAACAAAAAAATCCACAAAAAATAGTATAGTAAGTATCAAGAACTTATACGAGAGTTTTAGTCACGAGATTGATTAAGAGCGAGCGTGTAAGCAAGTAAAGTCCTTTAGTAACGGCCTTGTTCGTCCGGGTTTAAAGTATCATTTTTTACTCGTATAAAAACCGTGGAAATACTTGCGCTTTAAAGATGAAAATGGAAAAATATTTTTTCAACTTAACCTAACTTAACCCTATCGTGTGAATTTTTATTCATTAATCACCCTGAGTCAAATTCTTAGGCGTCGTTTATAGTTCAGTCTTTAATACACTATTACATCGGTTTGGAGAACAAACCTAATCTCCCAGACGAAGGATTATCAACGTGTTGATGCGCGATCAAATGAATTCATCATCCTCTAAATCACAAAAAATAACTACCGACCGACTACATAAAATGACATATTGAAATTGTTACATTCGCCGGCGCATTATG